TGTCCTACAGAATTTCTCTTATATTTTCTTCTAACAGTTTTATAGTTTCTGGTCTTACGCTTATGTCTTTAATCTATTTTGAGGTTTTTTTGTATATGGTGTGAAATGGAGTCAAGTTTTATTCTTCTGCATATAGATATCCACATTTCCCAGCACCACTTATTTAAGATGTCCTTTCTTCAATGTATGTTCTTGGCACCTTTGTCATAAATCAGTTGGCTATAAATATATGCATTTATTTCTGAATTCTTAGTTCTGTTGGTCTACCTGTCTGTTTTTATACCAACACCATGCTCTTGGTTTTTTTTGTTTGTTTGTTTTTGTTTTTTTACTATACCCTTGTAGTATATTTTGAAGTCAAGTAGTGTGATGCCTCCAGCTCTCTTCTTTCTATTCAGAATGCTTTGGCCATTCAGATTCTTTTTTGGTACCATAGGAATTTTAGATTTGTTTTCCAGTTTTTTTTTAGTTTTTTTTTTTTTTTTTTTTTTTTTAAATAAAGATTGCATTGAGTCTGTAGACTGCTTGGGTAGAATGGTGTTTTTAACAATATTAGTACTTCAGATCCATGTTCATGGGATGTCTTTGCATTTGCTTGTATTGTCTTTAACATATTTCATCAAATTTTTGTAGTTTTTCATGTAGAGGTCTCTATCCACCTTGGTTAAATTTATTTCTACTTTTTTTTTTTAGCTATTGCAAAACGGATTGCCATCTTAATTTGTTTTATATATTGATTTTTGTATTCTGTAACTTTACTGAATGTATTCAGCAGATCTAGGTTTTTCGGTAGAGTCTATGTTTTTCTAGATATAGGATTATGTCATCTACAAAGAGGGACAATTTGATTTCCTCTTTTCCAATTTGAATGCCTGATTGCTCTGAGTAAGATTTCTAGTACAATTTCGAATAGCCACAGTGATAGTGAGCACCTTGTTTTTTTCCAGTTCTTAGAGGAATGGCGGGAACTCTCGGCCAGCAAGAGGATTCAAAACCTGATCAGAGGGTGCGCAGGAAAAATAGGAGACAGAAGAGTGGGATCAGGAGGTCTGGGGAGTGAGTGCTCCACCAGCAACTTTATTTCTTAAAGGCTTCGATTATATATATTTTTCAGGCTTTAGTTTACATCAGTGTAAGAGAAAAAACAGATCACTAATTCGCATACTCTATACAATAAGGATGGCAGAGACACACAATCAGTGGTCGTAAAAGGTGATAGTCATTCCTGGTGCCCATAAAAAACATTTACATCGAGACATTGTTCCTTGTGACTGCAGGATTTTCTGGTTCCGATCATCTGGTTATCTTTTAACAGGATTCTCCTTTTTTCTGTTCCTGACTCAACTTTATCTCAACTTCCCTCTATCAGGTGTCCCTGTGTCTGGGCTCGACCACCCGTCTTGTGAAACTCGCTTTGCAAGTATTCACACGGTTGGGTTCCCAACAGAGGAAAGGCTTTCAACTTTCCACATTTAATATGATATTAGCTGTGGTTTTATTATGTGTGGTGTTTATTATATTGAGGCATGTTTCTAGTATTTTTAGTTTTTATCATGAAATCATGTTGAATTTTATCAAATGCTTTTTCTTCCTTATTCTGAGAGGATACAGAATGACTATGTCTGTTTTTACTGTTTTTGACTTAATCTCTGTTTGATCTAACATAAGTGTAGCTACTCTTGCTTTTCTGTTTTGTTTGGATGAAGTATATTTTTCTGTCTTAATTCCTGTCTATATGTCTTTTCTTTTTCTTCTAATCTATATCTGTCTACAAGTGAGATGAGTTTCTTAGCACATAGTTACGTTTTTTAATCAGTTCACCCATTCTATGTCTTATAAGTGGAAATCTTTTTCTGTTTACATTCAAGGTTATTGTCGATATCTGAGTCCTTATTCCTGTCATTTTGTTAATTTGTTTATAACTGTTTTGTATATCTTTGTTCCTTTCTTTCTCCTTGCTGTTTATCACTGCATTTGGGTGGTTTTCTGTAGTGGTAACATTTGATTCCTTTCATTTCCTTATTTGTGTTTGCTCTACCAGGGGACTTTATACTTTCATGTGTTTTCAAAATAATAGATATCCTTTTGCTTTCACATGTAGGCCTCCCTTAGGTATTTCTTGTAGTGCTAGTCTAGTGGTGGTGAATTCTCTGAGCTTTGCTTATGTGAGAAAAGACTATTGATTTCTCCTTCGTTTATGAAGGATAACTTTGCTGGGTATATGGTTTTTTTCTTCTAGCAGTTTGAATATATTGTCCCATTATCTCCCAGCCTAAAGGATTTCTTCTGGGAAATCTGTTAGTCTGATGGGAGTTTCCTTATAAGTTATTAGATACTTTTCTTTTGCTGTTTGTAGAATTCCCTCTGTTTTGACTTTTGACAGTTTGACTACAATGCACCATGGAGAAGACCTTGAATTGTATTTGTGTGAGTTTCTCTGAGCTTCCTACATCTAGATGTCTAAATCCCTTCTTGTAAGACTTGGGAAGTTTTCACCTATAATTTTGTTAACGAGTTTTCTTTCATTTTCTTGTCACCTTCTGGGACATTGAAAATTCAAATATGTCATGTAAGCTTTGTTAATTATTTATGTTTATGGTTTAGTGTTAAATTTTTTTAATGTTTTTAGTGTTCATCTGACTGGATTATGTCTTCAAATTCTGATTATTTCTTCAACTTAATCTAATCTGTTGTTAAACTTTTGAATGTATTTTGTATTTCTTTCAATGAATTATTCATTCCAGAGTTTCTCTTTGGTTCTTTTTTTGATACCTGTCTCTTTAGTAAATTTCTCATTCATATTACGAATTGTTTTTCTGAGTTGTAGACTATCTCACTGAGATAGACTTTAATATTGTTATTTTGAATTCTTTATCTGGGATTTCAAAAAATTCTTATTCATTGGAATCTGTTGCTGGAGAATTATTTCATTCTTTTGGAGGTGTCATGTTTTCTTGCTTTTTCACATTTCTTGAGTCTTTGCATTGATATCTGTGTATCTGGTGTGGCAGTTGCTTGTTCCAATTTTCAAAATTATCTTTTTCAGGGAGACTTTTACCTGAAGGTGTATCTATGGTGTGGGTTGGATAAAGTTCCCTGGCTTTCATTTTGGGTGCAGGCAGTAGTGTAGTCTCTGTATGGTTTATTTGACTGTAACAGTATCAATAGTATCTATGATTCCTTCAGTGCCTTAGAGTACAGTTATTAGTGGAAGGCTGTTGTAAAATTTTGCTGGGTACAGGGATGTGATGTGAACCAGTCATCAGACCCCATTGGTGGCAGCAGTGGGTCACATGTGCCTCTCCTAAGCTGCTCAGTACTTGAAGGATGTGTGAGTCGTGGTATGAGCTCCCTCTTTGAAGCAATGCCATCACATGATTTCCGGGCAGTTGTCTATATCAATTTCAGGCACCGCATGGGTTGACAGACTCTCCCATGGCTAGGAGTGCAGGAGTCCATGGTGGGAATGTGGATGGCTGGGTTCACTGACTTAATTTTTCCTCATATTAGGGAGCCTCTCCAGGCTCATAGACGATCCCAGCTGAGCAGGCTACCTTAATTCTCTCTTCTTCCTTACTTTAGATATTTTCCAGTCATTTCTGTTGAATTCAGAATTATATTTTAGATGATAAGTCTGATTACCTACTTACTCCAGAGGTTCTTCTTTATGGAGGAGGAAAGTACCAGATTCCTCTAATCTAACATCTTGAAGACGTCTTCCAAGATACATTTCTTAAAGGAGGTATACTAAGGTAGAACTTTTTTTCTGGTTACAAGTTATAAAATTCCAATGGAATGAGTATATACAAAAAGAGAATATTATTGGTTCATGTAAACATGACGTTGGCTATTATCAGTGCTTATTTGTTCCTGCTTTTGTCTCTGCCTCACCTGCCTAACAGCTTGTTCGTTCAGCCTTGCTTTCTTCATCAGGCTGAAATGATAGCCAGCCGTAAGTTCACTTTATTCCAGATGCATAAACAAAGGAGAAAGGATCTCCAATTACACCTCTCAAACCCACATTCATACTGTGCTACTGGGAACTATCCCAGGGAAGAACTCTGGCCTGACGTGGGTCATGCACACACCCATGGGCCACTCTGATACAATTTTGTAGACAGGATATAAGTGAGGAAGTAGAATTTAACAACTTTTTCTGGAACCACATAATTGAAGGAAGGGGGGAAAGTTTCCCCTAAATGATTTTGGATGCACAGTTAACAGAAGAAGAGATAATAAGGAGAAGAGAAAGAAAAAAAAAATAAAAACAGGAACAGTATATACAGTATGCTAGAATGTACACATGGAGTAACATGGGAATTTAGAAGAAAGAGTTCATTTCTTAGAAAAATTCAGTGAAATCTGATGGAGTCTTCAAAAAATGAATGGATATATACTCTCAGTGGTTTCAAAGAGCATTTCAGAAGGATAGGAAGTACCAGCCTGAAGATATGGCTTTAGTGTAGATTTTTTTAAAAACAAGAAAAGCAGAGTAGTTAAGTGTAGCTAAAGGCCAGTATACAGAAGGGAAAGAATACAAATGAGGTCCTCTGCAAGCTTATGGGAGTACTTTGAAATAACTAATTTTTTAGTCCACATAAAGCAGATGAGGAATATCAAAACTATCTTTAAGTATATCAATCTTGTAGATGTTTGTGAATTAAATTGACAGAGGCAGACATAACAAGAAGTTATTTCAATTATCTATGTGGAAAGTTTTGAGAGCCTGAATGTAATGGAAACAATACCCAGATACAAGCAGAATCTTAAGCTGGACATTGCCAAATATTAAATACTGTCCAGAGTTATTTCTCAGTGATATTTTAATGATTATTGCCATCTTCCTCTTTTTTCCCCATTCCCCAAAACTGTATAATAATAATATACAAGCCAGTGTTATGGATTAACTCCTCTTAATAATCTGAAAAGAGATAACTTTCATGTGCTCAGCACACAACTAAGTAGTCTAATTTGGTTTTTTTTTTTTTTTTTTTTTTTAGAAAAAAAGACTTTCAAAAGGAGAAAAGTCTACTGCCAAATAACTCAGCACCTCTTACAGAACCACAAGATGTGGAAGAATGTCATTGAAGAGGAGCAGCGGTTGGCAGACATAGAAAATCAATCCCTGGGTCAGACCCCTCAGCCACACTCTTCAGAACAGATCCAGGCTATCAAGGAAGAAGAAGAAGGAGAGAAAGGGAAACCAAGAGGGGAGGAGATACCAACCCCAAAGCCAAACCAGTGACAATGGATAGAGTGGGCTGTGTTTCCAGACAGACTGACTTGTCAAAGACTCTCTTCAAGCCAGCACAACATTTAGACACAACACTGTAGAAATTTGAGAAGATGGCAAATGGCTATTGCATTTTGGGATTCTTCGCATTTTGTGTGTGTATATTTTTACAGTGAGGTACATTGTTAAAAACTTTTTCTCAAAGAAGCTTTCACATTGCAACACCAGCTTCTAAGGATTTTTTAAGGAGGAAATAATACATATGTGTGTGTGTATATAAGCTCCCACATATACATGTAAAACATATTCACACACATGCACGCACACACATACACACTGAAGGCCAGAATTGCTGGCTCCACAATTTAGTAACATTTATATTAAGATATATAGTGGTCACTGTGATATAATAAATCATAAAGGAAACCAAATCACAAAGGAGATGGTGTGGCTTAGCAAGGAAACCGTGCAGGAAATGTAGGTTACCAACTAAGCAGCTTTTGCTCTTAGTACTGAGGGATGAAAGTTCCAGAGCATTATTTGAATTCTGATACATCCTGCCAACACTGTGTGTGTGTGTGTGTGTGTGTGTGTGTGTGTGTGTGTGTGTGTGTCGAAGGGAACAGTGTGAAAGGGTGCTTGCGTGCATGTGTGTGCATATGTAAAGAGATTTTTGTGGTTTCAGTAATTCATAGAATAGCTGTAGCAAATTACTGAATACATGTGAACAAACAAGGAAGTTCACTCTGGAGTGTCTCTGGGAGGCAGCCATTCCAAATGCCCTCCTCCATTTCCTTCAATAAAGGAGCTTTTGCAGATGGAGGGCACTCAAGGGCTTGGTGAGAGGGCCACATGTTTGTTTGGTATTACATTACTGCTATGCACCACTTGAAGGAGCTCTATCACCAGCCTCAAACCTGGAAGATTGAGGCATTTTCCAGTCCACTTGCCTAATGAATGTATAGGAACTGTCTATGAGTATGGATGTCACTCAACTAAGATCAAAGCACCATTTAAGGAGATGATGACATTTTTTATAAACACCTAGGAAAGAGCTGGAGTCAGGTCTTTTAATAAGGTTAGAATTCTAAATGATGCCAGAGAAGGCTTAGGAAATTATACTTCAGCACGATCTCCTGTGTCTTCTTAATTTGCTGCAAAATGTGTGGTAGAAAAAGAAAAGGAAACAGAAAAACCACTCTGGGTTATGTAGCAAGAGATGAAGGAGACTATTTCAACCTAGGGTTTTTGTGTAGACATAGGAAAAGCCTGATTCTTGGCAACTTACAGTTTGGCTGTAGTTTGGCTTTCAGGGGTGAAGGTCCCACTGACAGCCCCTGTTGTGGTATTCCACATGCTGTTTGTTGGGGTAGCTTCCATCTGCAACCTGGCCCATTGTCAGTCATGCTTCTTCTGGCAGGGGAGACTAGAGAGAGATTGTTTGAGGATCAGGTTATTATTGAAAGTCTTTTTGTTTTGTTTTGTTTTGGTTTGTTTATCTACACTTGTTTATGCTGTGAGCCAAACCTCTATTTAAAAAGTTGATACTCACTTTCAATATTTTATTTCATATTATTATATATGTCATGATAGTTATCTTGATGTAAATATAAAGATTTTTTTTGTTTTTGTAGATAGTAAATTTTTTTTTTAAAAAAAAAAAAAGGAAAAGGGAAACATTTTTATAAAGTTATATTTTAATCACCATTTTTTATACATTGTCATTATTTCCAAGCCCAGTAAAGGAATGATGATTCATTTGCATGGAGGTCGATGGACAGCCAATCATATACCTATTCTAATTTAAATGATAATCTGATATAGTTATTTTTTTGCCAATTAAATGAGAATGCTGCAAAGAATTTTTTTCACTAGTAACTTTTACCAACTGAATGAATGCTGGGTCCATGTCTCCCAGATGAAGGACTATTAACCAATATCAAATTTTTATAGTTGGTGTCCATTTCTTTCTAACACTGTTTGGTTATGATTCTTCCTTTAGTACTATATACAAACCTGCTCATTATCTAAACAATCTTAGCTTCTAAGTAAACCTTGATTGTGATATCTAGTTTTTGTTTTATCTGAAGTAGTAGAAAGGATTGTTTACATTAAAATTACTTAGTTTCTCATAAATGGATATTATACTCTCCCTTTTAAAGCATTATTTTACAGTAATTCATGGCATTAAAAAATAAGGCAAATGTAATACAATAAAAAATAAACATAGTTTCAAGGCAAATTCTCCAATAAGTAGGAAAATATAAAAAGGATCAAGCGGATGCAGACTCTACCTAAATACTTAGAATATATTTCAGTATATTTCTGAGTTAACACCAGGTCTTCATTATTTAGAGCTTACTAAATTGTTTTCATTTTCTTAGCTTTGCCTGTGTCTCTCTCTTTGCAAAAATTACTGGGAGTCAAATTTTGCCAGTTAATTTAACTATTCTTACCTTGCAATTAAGAGAAGGGGAAAAAAGCATTTATCTTCTCATGCCCCTTGAATGTAATTACTTAACAAAGCCAATATTTTCCCATTTTCCAAATGTTGTCCATCTTTAACGTAAATATTAATTAAACAAAAAGCTATGTTTGGAGTGAGTGGACTGGCAGGACAGTTGGAAGTTCATCATAGTCTACTGGCAGTTTCATCAAAGCTGTATAGTCCAAGTAGGGGACCAGCTTGGCTACTATGGTGGAAGTCTCAGCAAACTGCCAGGTTTTGTTTGTTTTGTTTTAAGGTACAGGAAATAATAGGAATAATAGTGGCAAAAGCAATCAGAATTTCTTTATTTTAGAATTGTGTTCATCAATCCAGGATGATTGATACATTTTTCTTTAAAAATAAATTGCTATTACAGCTAGAAGTCAATTGGGATAAATAAAGGGATGAAGATCCTCCAAGTACATGACTTTCATACACACCCAGTACATCTCATAGGATGCTAAGGGACATTTTCTGGTAATAGGGTTTTCCCCCTTTTTTGGTGACAGCAATATTATTATGTTCACATCCAACTCCAGAGCTTACTTCCTGTGGTGCCAATGTATTTGTTGCAATTTACTACAATTTTATATGAGCCTATTTATAGGTGCCATTAGATAAAACTCAGGTCTTTCAAATGAAGGAATTTCTTAGCCCACCTAGGGAAAAAGATAATTGTTTAGACAACCATAAAATCAATGATAGGAAAAGTTGGAACCAGTTACCTAGATGGCATGGTTCTCTGTTAAGTAAAAGACCAGGTATATTCTGAGTGTCATCAGTGTTATTTTCAGCATGCTAATGAACATCTTTCCAGTTATATAGCTAAACCTTTAAAATATTGGTTTCCTTGGTAAAAGCACTACTTTTACTTTTGTTAGCTGTAATTTTTGTTTGTTTTGCCATTTATGTAAGACCTGGTTTTGCTCTCAGTAAAAGATGAAGACAGTAGCTCTGTACAGGGATATAGCTATATTAGTCTTCATCTGACAAGTGAAGAAATTTTCTCTTATTTTGTTCAAGAAAGTATTCACTTCCTAAAAATAGAATACCTGATTCTAACTATTCCCTTTTGGTTGAATAGCTGAACAAATCTTACCATTGCAATCCTAAAACTAAAGAAAAGGAATATCTTATAGACTGTTAATATTAGATGTATGTAGACTGTTAATTTGCAATTTCACCATACTCCCTGCCTGTCTTACCCAGAGAACTTTCTTTGAAGGTAAAAGCTGTGCAGAAGGCATGAGACTCAGGCCTACTCTTTGTTTAAATGATGGAAAAATATAAATTATTTTCTAAGTAATAAAATTATAAAAATTATCATTATAAATAAAGTCTAAAGTTTGAAATTATTAATTTATAAAAGTGAACTAAGTGTGTGATTATCAAATCCTGATTAATGAGAAGTGAATAATCTAAAAATCATTTATATTCTGCTGTGGGAGATATTCTTGGTGCTTCCATGTCAGTATGGGGCTCTCCACTGTCCTCATCATTTATAGCACTCCTAAAATAACGATGGAAACCTCAGTAAGGGTTTGTCCTCACCCTGATTCCAGTTTAATGCCTTTCCTGACTATATGCTATTTGCAAATAAACTGCCTCTCAAACTGGTAGAACACTCACTCCAATAAAACAAAGTTCTATGAACTTTCATAACCTAGTAAAAACCAACAAGATTCCCCTTCTTTTAGAGATTATTAGCTAATATGTGTGGAAGAAATATTAATAAAAATTCAAATGCCAGTAGCTCAATTCCAGATAATTTAAAGCTAAAATATTTATGTACTTTGAAACCAAACTGAGTTTATTTCATTGATTGAACCAGCTGCAACACATTTTATGACATTATCCTAGGTGATCTATGTCTTTAAAGTATGAATTTGCTGATATTGTCAGTTCATTTTTTAAATGTTCAACAAAATTCAATTTTAAGATTAAGAAATCAGCAATTTTAGGTAAAGAATATTCCAAAATTAAATTTTTCTTATTAAGAAATATATCAGTTTTAGGTCCTATATTCACACATCAATTTGTTCATCTGGAAGATATTCAAATTCTTATTGGGAATGAATTACACTGCAAACAATGAGTTAAACTAAAAACTATATATGACTTAAATTGAGACTTGCAAACGTAATTGTATGTTCACATGGTTCACACCAATGAACCATGCTCAGAGAACAGTAACATGTTTTTCAGTCTATGTTATGCACCAAGGATGTTAGGCAATGTGTGCTATTGCCTACACACTGTATTTGTTAAAATAAATGTTGCTTTTATCTTACCTCATGGTGCTTTTACCTAACTTGAATTGATCTTTGTGTTTCCACTAGCAAATCATTCTAACAGCAGGCTAACAAATGGTGGAAATAAAACAAACATTTTTTTTGCAAAATATGTTTGAAGACATGACACTGAATATTAAGGCTTTCTTTACATGGTGGAACTCAATGTTCATCTGTTGATTCAAAAATACTGATCTAGTATAAATTATTTTAGTGTAGGTAAGACCGCAAAATACAGTATATAGAATTATGTATAAATGGAAAACAAAATTGGCTTTTGACATATGTTTAAGGTTCTAAAAGGAATCCACATTTTCTTTCCAATGACAGCTAGTTTTTCTCCATATGTTTTTAAGGTTGATTACTTGACACACATTGGTATCACTGGGTTTCTGCTTGCTTGAAAAGCTGTGGAGCACAGAAGAAAAGCCTTCTCCTTACAAATAAAAAAAAGCTGAACATGTTTATGTTCCAACAATGAAGCAGTGATTTTCTCATTGCTTCACATTAAGAAGTGGTTCTTTAATTATGCAAATAATTCAATGCAACCAAAAATGCTTCAAAGAGTAATAATAAATCATCATAGGTAAGTATTCTCAAGAATGTTTAAATTTGATTTATTTTCTGGAAGCAAAGCTTTTTTTTTAATTTTTCAATTAAAATGAAACCCACAAAATGACATTCCATGGTACTGAATATTTTCATATAATCAGAACTATACTGATTATTTTCATATAATCAGAGGCTGAATATTTTGATATAATCATGCCTAGTAACATATAACAAAAAACTAGAAAGAATATTTAATTCTTTTTCTAATATTCTCCATGCCTCATGGGGAAAAATGTTTTATGAAAGAAGGGTTCAAATACACTAGATAAAAATTAATGTCAATTTAACTTGGTACAAATTATAGTTTGAGCTCTTCTGAGTTTTCCTTAAGACAAAAGAGTATAGTATTCAGCAATTTATTATGTTTTGTGTTACTATAAAATAAATGTTCTATTAATGTATATTTTATTTTACTAAATTCTAACACAAAAGGCCAAATATTTACCATTCTTACTAAGAAAAATTAAACCTTAATTCATCTTGACTTTCACAGATGAAACACTGACCAGTCAATAAACCACACTCACTGCATTAATCTGCCCAGCATGATCAGATAGGTTAGAATTTCAAATTCATTAATAAAAAAGTAATAACAAAACTTTGTAAGCCTTAATGGTTTAACTAATATTTCAGTGTCATTGAAAGTTCCTATTTCAAATTAAACAAATAACAGCAGGATATTTTTCCTTTCCTGTTTCAAAACAAAAACCAGATGAAATTCCAAACACCCACTAGGCTGTCAGCTGAACCATGTACTCTCCACTGAGAAAATGAACAATATCCTATATCTTAACAGTTATGCTCTAACTTTTTGAAAAGTTTTTGATGTAAATAATACTAGGTTAGAAACTAAAAGCCTTTCAATCTTACAAAATACAATTTGAATGATGTAAGGTTGTTCAAATATTGGCTTTCTATAAAAACATCATTGTGTTAGGCTGTTTATAATATCAAAAAAATTGGCTGCTTGGGTAGTTTTAGTTACTACTTTAAAAAAAAAAAAAAGATGAAGAAGAAACAAAGCCAAACCTATCAGAGGAAAGCATGGCTTCTCTTCAATTATACTTCCCTTACTCAATATTAGTAACCAAAAAATAACCAGAAATTCTCCTCTGCCATAGTAGAAAGAATGGCCTTCAACTTAAGTTCTAGTTCCCCAAGGCTGGTTTCATTGTAAAGCCTATGGAACTGAGAAGCATAAAAAAGCAAGAGCTGTGGATTGGGAGTGAACACTACATAAAACTTGCAGGGCATCCCAGGACACCCCTCCATCTTTGATACACACCAACTTAGTTTCTCTGGAGTGAAATGACCTGTGGATCTACTGTTCAACCTTGACTTCTTTTGTGACAAAGAACATTTAGACATGTTTCCAAATGTGAATTAGCCCTTGAATTAGCTTGAAAACTGCTACTTGAATAACTTTTGAAGAGCAAGATTTTCTTTCTAGTAATTTTACTCCCTAAAAAAGGTAAAATACTCAGATGTTCAATGTGAAATTAAAAACAGTTGTTTGAAGTATATCTACTTCAATAAATAGTGCTTTGTGTATATAAAGTGTTGGTTGATAGCAGTTTTCCTGTCCCTTTTAAAATTCCCAACTGATTATGGGTCAAAAACTCCATCTTACATTAGAGATTTCATTTTAACTATTCATAATTTAGTATTATAGTATTGCTAACTTTAAATACTAATTCTAACATCTATATGTCACTTGTGAGGTTTTAATGGCTTTACTTAATATATATTTGTCCATCAGCTTAAAAGAAATCACTAAATTTTTTATACTCTGTAAAATATTTGCATGGGAATTTTAGCATATTATATTTGCTTAACTGGTGTTTTTTTTTTCACTTATGACTGTCAGTTTATATCTTAATATATTCTCACAGAAGAATGCATACCGTTTTGTTCCAGTAAGGACAATCTGTTAGTTGATAAGCACTGGAAATAAATATCACCACCCCATGATATTTCTTCCTTAAGATTTCTATCATGCAAATCACAAAATGAAAATTGGTGCTTTTATGGATATTCTGACTCTCAATGCAAAATAATAAAAATGAGATTCTCCCTAGCTTTCTATATTAGAATATGTGACTAAAGGAACTTTAATCTGAATTTAGAGTGTTTTGGGTTTTGGTTGGTTTGAATAATTTGATTTGAATTTTTGCATTAAAATGTGCTTGGATTTCTGTGGGCAGTTGTTCTGACCAGTCATTACCTCTTCCTGACAGAAAACAAAGAAAAGAAAAAAAGAAGCCTGGCATTGGCAAGTTCTAATTAACATGGCCCCAAAATTTGACCTTGAAGGATATTTGTAAACCAGAGAGTATTTAATTGACTGAATTTGCTGTTCCTAAAAAGCAATATTTTCAAATAACTGCCAACCAAAGTGACACTGTAGTGATGTCATTTGTACATTACAGTTTTTAACAATTAATTCTTACCACTCTGGCCAGACCTGAATATGCTTATTAACTAATAACGTTGCCAAATTTTTCAACTTCTAGGAAAACAAGAGCGAGGCTTTTGAACTTAAGTCATCATTTTGCAATTGAAATAAATATTCTCCTTTCACCTGCACCTTCCATTTAATAGACGTAGCAACAGTATCAGCCCATCACAAGCACTGTTAAGTGACTGACTTAGCAGCTGAGAAATGTTTTGTAAAAGGTAGAATCTGTACAGAAAAAAATAATAGATAAATTGTATTTATTTTTTAGCTTAGATGCTATGTTGATGCTCCCTTTTTGCCAGAATTACTGGAAGTGCCTCTTGGTTTTATATATGTAAATATATATATTGCAGTAAATATATACTCAAAATTATTGAAATTATGTCATAGATGATGTTGATGTTATGATGTGAAGATAATGTATAATATAAAAATAATTCTGTGATATTATGATTTATGTAGTATTTGTATAATCCACATCCTCCAGTCCTCTGAAGGCATCCTTTCCTCTTATATGCAAATAGAGTGGTGTGGTACCTAACCTATTCTGTGGTGAGACAGACATCTCTTGGCCTTCCTACAATCTCCAAGGGACCTTGTTGGGCTTATTTTCTCACGGGCACATCTTTCTCACGATCACTAATGAATTCGCAGCCACATTTAATTATCCAACTTTCTGCAACTAAGTTGTGTCCTTTCTTTAATCAAATAACACCAAAGCCAAAATACCCACATTTCTGGCATTCAGCTTTAGAGTCCTAGAAAATCAACAGTTACATTTCTACCTGTGGTTCCCTAAGGAATCGATTCTTCAATCTTACACCTATTATTTCTCCATTACTTATGATATCAAATCCCAACTCCTAAGACTGGTGTTTTCAAATCCCCCTTTGCTCTGGCCTGAAACTACCCTCTCTAGTGCATGCACATACACACACACACACACACACACACACACACACACACAAACACACACACTCTCTCTCACTCTCTTCCAACTATACATAGCACAAAAAGGCGAGATTAACTATGTCTTCTTGAGTTGTGAATTTACCCCTCTCTCAGAGTTTTCCTCTTACAGTCATGCCATGGCTCTGAGTGGAAGGGAGATTATTTCTTGGCAGTCTAGTATGAACCTTCAACTCCATCCTTCATTTCAGTGTTCTCAAAACAACTTTTAAGGAAGAAAAATTCAAATTACATGGTATAAGGGGTTAATAGTGGGTAAGTTCTAACATCCAGGCCAGAGGAGAGGGATTACTATGATCATTACCTAATATAGGAAGCCTCAGACATCAGATTAGTGTGTCCTTGTTCACACCAATTCACACTTAGTCCAGCTTTACAGGTCACCCCCCAAGCCTGCTGAACCACATGGGGTAGAATTCGATATATGTGTACAACACCCTGACAAATGGAAAATAAAAAGAAAAAATCAGTCCTTAAATAACTAGAAATTTCCATTTGCTAGAATAGATTTAAGACACAGCCTCGTTAATTTTAGTCCTGGAGCTGCTTCATGTCCTGAATAATTTTTCTGACATATTGCTGTCTTAAGAAAGGAAGCCCAGGCCCACCTCGGCAGAGATCTATCAGACTTGATGTAGTGGTCCATGCTTTCTGGAATCTTATGGGTTACTGGGGCCAGACAGAGCTGGGTAGGTGTGAGGAAGGGTTTGCATTTACTCAGCACTCAGTGCAGTCGAGCAGCTACTTGTATTATCAATTGGATTGGCTTTTCCCTGTCAGGTGCCTGAGGTGGATTCAATGATGGCCTGGTCTCTGGTCTTCAGGAACTCTGAAGTAGATCAAAACGATGTATTAGTTTTCCATTTCTGCTATAGTAACCACAAATTGTGTAACTTAAAATAATGCACATGTATTAGTTTACAGACCTGTGGGTCAGAAGTCCAGATGAGCTTGGCTGGGTTCTCTGCTTTGGGAATCCATAAAACTAAAATTAAGGTGTTGGCCAGCCAGAGCTATTCTCTAAAGGCTCCAGGGTAGAATCCACACCCAAGCTCATTTAGCTCCTTAGCAGAATATAGTTCCTTGAGGTTTTAAACCGGATGTTTCCTTTTCCTTACTGGCTGTCTCTGGGAACCCCTCTCAGCTTCTTAAGGCCACCTGCTTTCCTCCTAGCATTGCTTCCTCACCCAGTTTCAAGCCAACAATGACACATAATCCTTTTTTATACTTTCAGACTTTCTGACTTCCACTTCTGATGCATCTTTTCTGTCTCCAACTAAAGAAAGTTGTCTGCTTTTAAAGATACATTTATATAATATTATTATATTGGGCCCAAACAATCCAGGATGATCTTCCTATTTTAAGGTCTGTGACCTTAATTACATAGGAAAAATATTTTTAGCCATGTAATTTAACATATTTACAGTTCCCAGGGATTAGTGTGTGTGGACGTTGTGAAACTCCATCTTCCACAAATCAATAAAACAATGAATAATATAAAGAAGACATGAAGGCATACGGGCCACACAGTTGTTCATCCACGTCATGGTATATCATGCCCATAATGAAATTGGTGGTCTAATTGCAAAAAGCAACAATGACAATAGGGAATGGAAGAAAGACCCAGTCAAGAATGTAGAAACAACCTCCTGAAAATTGAGGCTACTTGTAACTCCCGTGAGGTTTGGTTGCAATCTGATAATGGTAATGCTTTTAACCATTTACACTCATATGTGGATATTTGTCCTAAAAGCCAAAATATGTGGCTATTGGAATTAAGGTGTAAAAGTAGGAATTGTTCCCCTCACTATTATAGTTCATAATCAACTGATTTTGCTTTCTATCTCTAAAAATTTTGGTTTGGTTTGTTCAGATGAAATAATTACCAAGTGAGGGATACTTTCACCAGAACACACAATGGTTCCATTACCCTGGAACCAAGCCCACTATTCAGATATTTTGTTGTCTCATGTTACTGAACCATCAGGGGAGGAAGTGATTGATCCCAATTTGCCAAGCTGAAGTATGATTTCTGATACAAAATAGTGGTATTAAAGATTGTGTTTGGAACACAAATAATTCTCTGTGGAGCTTCCATGTTAACTAGTAGGTGTAGTGGGAAACTAGAATCACCCAATAAAAACAGAACCACTAAGAAAATCGACCTTGCAAGAATGAACTTGCAGGTCATCCTATCAGTAAAAATGTTCCACCAAGAGCGGCCCTAAACCAGGGCAAGGAAAACATGGAATGGATAGCAGAAAACAAAAGTTTCATATCAACTATTGGCTCCATAGCCAATAACAGAAATAAATTTGGAATTTATCCACTAACACTTTTTAATCTATTTACATAGGTAAATGATCTTTCTCTGTATCATTTATTTAAAACTCACTATGAAAAATTTCAAATGTATTGAAACCAGAGAGAATAGTAAAGTGAATACCGGGTGGCTATCACCTAGCTCAAACAATATACAGCCAATCTGTTCCATATATACCTCCAAATATTTAGTGCTTCTCCTCTAAATTATCTTAAAAATATAACATATCCTTTTATTAGTAAATAATTTGTTTTAAAAAAGCAATGCTATATTTACCTCTAAAACAATGACATCACATTATCTCTAAAAAAAACTAACACAAATTAATACAACAAATATCAACAATGTTCTCATTTCTGAGGTTACAAAATTTTTAAGAATATTACAAAGAAGTCTTCTTGTTATAGTTTGTTTCTTCTTGAATAGGGGTACAAAGTCTGTACGTTGTAATTGGTCAGTTCATTTCTTAAGTTATAATATACAATTTCTCCCTTATCTCCTGTTTTCCTTGCACTTTTTGGTCGGAAAAAAATTACTGAGTTATTTGTCCTAAACAGATTCTTTACTTTCAGTTTTGCTGATTCCATCTTTGCAGTATCATTTAACATGCTCTTCTCTTCCCTATATTTCTCATGGACTGGTATTTATATCTCATCTGAGATTTGATAAGTTTATTTTTTTTGGAAGTAAAAAGGGGGACTATTTCAAAGATGATATTTCAAGCTTTAAACTTGCATCATGATGTTCAAAATGGCTTCAGTTTTTTGGTGATATTATTGGTCACTGATTACCTTTCTCTAAATTCATTAATTAGGGATTTGAAAATTATAATATGCTCACTTATAAGTGGGTTTAAACATTAGGTACACATAGGCATAAAAATGGAAACAATAGACATAGCACACTACTTGAGGGGAAAGATGGAGGAGAAAGGCAAGGACTGGAAAACTACTTATTGGGTACCATGCTCACTACTTGGATGACAGAATCTTTTGTACCCCAAAACTCAGAGTCTCACAATGCACCCATGTAAAAAATCTGAACATGTACTCTTTGAATCTAAAATAAAAATAAAAACTGTAAAAATAAATATGTAATAACTTAGTTCCAGAAATTAATCAGCTTGCATTTAATATAGAATTATAAAAGCTTTATATAGAGGGTCTGAACTAATTATATTAACAGGCATTTTTCATAACCATTAAGAATCATCCCTATAAATAACTACTTTCTGAGTTTCTCAATTGTGCCACACAAACCAAGCTATGCAAATAAAACCCATTAGAGCTCTACCAATCTAAAAGCAATTGAAAATTATAGTATATTTCTACATTTCTTTTCTTTAACTTTTGCATTTGACTCAAATGAGTTTGAGGATTTTGCATTTTTAATATTGTTTTTATTAAATTGTTCTAGAAATAAATTTGTCATCTCTGGAGAATAGTCACTGTTTTCAGGCTATTTGTTGGACTGAACCAAGGTTGCATTGGTATTAACTTCAAAACCTTATCAAATGCTTTCAGGATACTTTAAGATTGGATTATAGTTAAATAAATATTAATTAAGAAAGAAAAGAAAATTATGAAATTCTTATTCTCTCCTTATTATTTGAAATTATTCTATGAAGAGAAATTTGTCTTTATTCTGTAATAACGCTAATGAAAGTGTGAAATAGGAAAGCTAGGATAAACACAGAATTTCTCCCTAAGTACTACTAGTTTTAAATATATTAATATTTAAGTTGTATTTAGAATTATTCCGAAGTGACCATGTGATATTTTTATAGCATTATTAATTCATAAATTTTATTATTTTATATGTTTCAACCATTACAGTTATTCTTACTGATGCTCAAACTTTCCTGTATTTGATTAGCAGCAGCCTGTTCAGGTTGTCTTCTGAATCCTATTGGCACAATGTACTCTTCACGGTATCCTTGCCCTTTTCTATGACAAGATAGATATTCCAGGCCCATCTTATATCTTTACACCTGGTATTAGTCACATATCAAGGATCCATGGTGTCTTTATTTATGGTGCTAGTTGCACTTATTGCTACTTAGATGATCATTGTTTTTAGACCTTTTCAGTGGAGAGAGCTAATACACACACACACACACCTCTCTCTCTCTCTCTCTCTCTCTCTCTCTCTCTCTCTCCCCCCCCCCCCCACTGCATTTTTCCAGACTGAAAAACTCTTAACTCAAATTTGGGACTATAAAATATTCCCTAACCTCATTAGATCTTATATTATATATATATATTTAAAGCCATGATACCAGATGAGGTCATTAAGGAAGTAAATATCGACAGCAAAGAAGATATTCCACAGATTGAATTTTGGAATACTCCAGCAATGAAGACTAAGAGCAAATGACCACTGAAGTAGGAGATAAACCACGGGAGTGTGGTGAAACCAGGTAAATAAAATGTATCAAAGAGATGGGCACATTAATGGCATACAATTCTGCTAATAGACTGATTAAAATGAGGTCTGGATATTGATCACTGGATTTATTACTGTGAATACCTTTAATGTTATGGATGAAAATATTTGCATTGGAACAGCGAAGGCAAAAACTGATTAGAGGTTGGTGAAAAATGAACTGGATGAGAAGAATTATATACAAGGAATACAAACTAAAGTTTGGGCTTTGAAATATGGACTGTAGGTGCAGGAAGGAAGACAGCTAATAGCAATGCACATTTGGGTGCAGAGTAGATGTCATGAGGACAGATTGTAAAATTTCTTCTGATATTCGTTTCGTTAGTGAATTTCCTAGACAAGATCATCAGCTAATAATCAGGGTGCAGCAAGAAATGAAGATTCGAGAGAGGTAAAGTGACTTGGTCATTAAAATGTATTACTTCTAGCAATGCCTCTATGATTCAGTGAGTTTAGTGGGTATACACATAAAATAAGCCCTACAGGCATGTTCCTAACTTGTTCTTCAATCATTTAAAACAGTTGAGGAGGGATAACATGGGGAGAAATGCCAGATATAGGCGATGGGGAGGAAGGCAGCAAACCACATTGCCATGTATGCAACAACCTTGCATGTTCTTCACATGTACCCCAAAACCTAAAATGAAATAAAATATACATTAAAAAAATAATAAAGATTTTCTGATTTGGCAAAAAAATAAAAATAAAATAAACAGTACGGATGCAAATACTAAGGAGGCAGAAAGTGGATTCAACTGAGGTGAGGTATTCCTGGGAAGATCAATAAATTGAAAGAGAAACAGGGAATTGAGGGTATATAGAAGGAAGTGATTAAAATAATTGCATGAACCAATTCAAGAAAGGAGGAAAATGAGAATATGAGTGTCTTGGCTTGAATTGTGTCTCCCAAAAAGATATGAGGAAGTCCTAACCTCTTGTACCTGTGAATGTGACCTTTTCTAAAAATAGAGTCTTTGCAGACGTTATCAAGTTAAGATGAGGTCTTTAGGGTGGACCCTCGACAAAGATAACTAGTGTCTTTTTAAGAACAGAAGACAGGGACAAAAAGGGAGAAGATGGCCACGTGGTAACAGAAGCAGCTGTTGAAGTGATACTCCCATAAAACAAGGAATTCCAGGGGCTGTCATCAAATACCAGGAGGTAGAAGAAGTAAGAAGGATTCTTCCCTACAGGTCTCAGAGGGAGCATGGCTCTGCTGACACCTTAATTTTGGATTTCTGGCCTCCAAAAGTCTGAGACAATAAAGTTCTGTTTTAGGTCACTCAGCTTGTGGTACTTTGTTACTGCAGTCTTAAGAAGTGCATTCATTTATATATTGTCTGTAGTTAATTTAACACCACAACGGCAGAGTGAGTGGTTGTGATAGACTGTATAGTTCTACAAAACCTAAAATATTTAGTATTTGTCCCTTTATAAAAGAAGTTTGTTAACCCCTGGTCTAGAGTTTGGAAATGGAATGAAAGGCTGAAGTAGGCTACAATCCAATGCAAAGTTGCATATAAGAGCTCTGAATAAGCGTAAAAATTAACCGTAACATTAACCGTGGACTCTGGAAATAAGAAAAGGAATCATGTTAGAGAGTGAAATTGAGTCAGTTTGGAATAGATCAAATTACATTCTCAGGGGAGAATTTCATTTCTTGGTGAGGAAAACTATGCCCTTTGGGCTATAAAAGCTATCTCCTCTTTAATAAAACAGCGGCTTGGCCACCTGTTAGACACTGAAAAGTCTAGACTAACACTCAATGTACTCAAATGTTTGCTCGCTATTTCCAATGGAAAAGTCTGGTTTGATTGTTAAAATATTTGGCCTTTCACAGTCTGGATACACCATTGCTTCATTGAAAGGTTTCAGATAAACCCTATTTGTCTTGCATTTTCTTTTCTTTCTAAGTAAAATGTGCTTGAATAATATTGATTAACCATACTGACTCTTATGTGAACTAAATATATAAAAAATGATGATACCATCTAGTGATATATTTGCAATGTGCTTTTGAATACATTATATAATTTAATCCTTAAAACAGCCCTATAAATCTGATTTTTTTTTAACAAAAAATTCACTTTATAAAGTAAGAAGTTGAGACTCAGTAAAACTAAGTGGCTATCCCAGAGTCTCAGCCATTTAAGAGGAGGGTGAATCTTGGATAATTCTGGTAGCAAATTTATTTATTGGTAGAAAGCACATGCAAACTAATAATGCTTAAGATCCTCTAAGGTTGTTCTCTTGGAAAAGGAATTTATTAAAATTGTAGGCTTTCTCAGTGCAAGGATTTCTTTATCCTTGGAATTAGGCAAAATAAACAATTGAATACCAAAAATTCAATGTGTTTTTTTTCCCTGTTTTCAAACCTCATAGAAATTGTAAATATGAGCAACTGATCATATCTCTGAGAATTAACTCTTTCTGTACAGAGTCCTGCAGAGCTTTGATCGTGACCTGATACTTGGTCCCTAAAGATTCTAGAATACCAATGGAAAAGAAAATCATGTAGGAAATTAGCCCAAGAACCATTAAAAACAAAACAAACAAAACAAAAACAAACAAAGAAAACATAAGGATCCCAGTGATGTCCCTAAGGAATAGTTGGCTTAAAAACTTTTTGGAAGGAGGAGGGGTCTTTGTTATAAACTTCCGTCCCTCCTCTGGCTTCTGTTCCCTTACCCTCTGCCCCCTGCAGAGTTGTGTTTTCTGGGAATCAGCAAGTAAGATCACAAGTGGTCTTTTCTTTTTTTCACTCTCTCCCATAAAGAAAGCTTTATCACGTGTGGCCTTAAACTTGCAGCAAATTGCAAAGAAATGGCTCAAAAGCTTCAGCTCTTTCTGTGCCCTGGGAGCTGAGATGCACGTCAGTAGCCTTGCCAGCCTGGCCAATTCTCTGCTGACTGCCAGAAAAAAAGAGGCCAGGAGGAAAGAGGAAAGAGAAGAGATTGCTGAGGGGTGAGACCATGCCCTTCATCTTTTCTTTTCCCTAATCTGCTTGGCCTGTGTCCACCCATGCTCTCCCCACCTGATAAAATTGTTCCAAATTGCTGGGGAGTGTACCTCAGTTTCCTCTTTCAGTCTTGCTGAGCACATTGAAAGGAACTGGCTATCTTTGATCTCTACCTCCAGGTAAGACTTGGTTCTCTCATTTCATGTTTTGTGATTAATAGATCAGATTGTTATGGGAGATTACTTAACCCTTAATTTCTGTGCTATTTATGTTTTATCCACAAAAATTCTCAATGCGAGGTGATAAGCCCCTCATTAGTTTTTGGTGGAAATAAGAGAGGAGATTGGTTAAAGAAATCAGATAAACTCAAAACTGAGCTCAAATTTTGAGTCTGATACTTAGAAGTTGTTTAGCTTTCCACAAGTCACTTAATTGCTTTGGGCCATCTAATTTTAAAAATAGAATTCTAATACTAAGCTTGTTGAGCTATTTTAAGGATTAGAAAAGGTACATACATCACCCCACGCAAAAATAGTACTTATTAAATCTGAATCTGACACAAATAATTTGTATTGGGTGGGAAATTAGTTTCCAAACAACATACATTCCTCTCCAGCAAGTGCCATAAGGCTATTTTTCAGCTCGTCTGAAGGCAGTCATCCTGGTGCCTAGAAGTCAAGCCAGGACAGAGGTTTTCCTCATGGGAGATGGCCAGAAGAGAGGGAGGAGCATGGTTGCCTTTAGGACTTTCTCTGTGGCAGTCCTTGGAGGCTGATTGCTGGACAGAGTCCGAGTCAACTGCAGAGCAGAGGGGTTGAGTACATCTGTGTGATCTAACTACAACCTTCATAAGCCACTTGCTCTCTACATTTAAAATCTGGAGGGATGATTATCAAACTCATGAGGACAGATTATTCAATTTTTTTGAACTCAAAGGAAGAGAAACTGCTTGGCTTGTTTTTCTTTGACTTCTCTCCAAACCCAGGGTACTGGATGAAAACTGTCATATGTCTTTTCCTGGAAGAATCTATTCAAGAGGCCAGAGATCAATTAACGATTTGCCAAATGCAAATCATTCTGAATAACTGTGTACTCTTGCTCTACTTCTGCAGTTGCAAACGAAGAGAGAGAGCCTGAAGGCTCCAAGGATCTTTCCATTCATGTCATTGAGCTTCCTTCCCTCTCTTTTTACAGGGGATGAACCGTAGCCTCCTTGGAACATACTACACTGGCAATAATTTGTGCATTAGACACCAAGACACTTCAGTAAAGCTAGGCAGTGCCAATAGTTTAAGCTGGATACTATTTTCCCCTAACACAATGTGAACTGAGATAACTATATTTATCTTTCATTATCACTTTTGAATTCCAGTTACAGTGATTTTTGTGTCAACACCTCCATATATTAGATAACTTAAAATGTGTTATAGTATCTCAAGCTTTTCAGCAATGTTTTTAACAGAATTATTTTTCTCATTGGCATTAGCATTCTAGATGTAACACTTTGGATCTTTTAAAGACAAATTTGGGATAAGTAATAGCATATTTTATTATTAAACAATGTATTTGTATTTTCTGATCACTAGATTTAATATTATGACTGATGAGAAATAAGACGATATGTGAATCCCTAAAACAGAAGGCCAAGTTGAATTATATAATTTCATCCTTTAAAGAAGATTGCAATTTAAGCTATAAATTTAAGAATTATTCATTTCTTATTTTAAAATATCTCTGGTTTGTGTATCTCTTGCTTGGTAATATTTTTTACTCTTAGTTTAGTAGTAAAGATATCTATTTAATATTGTAGAACTCTGTGTTTCCCAAACCCTGTTTTCATTGTTCTGGAAAATACTGTTCTAGAAAAGAAGTCCTAGTGACTCAGTAGACAGAGGAAGTTGGCTGATGGTATCAGATACCATTAAAGAAGAATATCTATATTCTTCATTTCTTAAACTTTGTTTTTTAAATCAGTAATAGATGTTGAATTTTATCAACTGATGTTTTTTATCTACTGAAATTCTATTTTTTAAAATCATTCACGTGGTAATTTAGGTGAATGAATTTAAGTAGCCAATTTTTGCATCTTTTAGAATAATTCTAATTATAGAACAAGAGCTAATTTGGATTTGCTAGCATTTTACTTAGAATTTTATAATCTTTGGGCTGAATCTGAAGTTTTCCTTTTTGTACTATCTTTATGCTGTTTTGTTACCAAGATGATTTTAGTTTTGTCAAACTAATGGAGACAATGATTATGTTTCCATTATCTGCTATCTTTCCTCAAAAAATATCCCTTGATAAATTATTTCTGGTATATCATCTGACCATAGTATCTTTGTTTAGGGAATAGTTTCAGAATATTTTTGATAATGTCTTTCTTGGCTATTTTTCTTTTCTGGTTTATATCAATAGAGGTAATGAATATTTGCTAGAAACTAATCCATTAAGTCAAGGTATTAAACTTATTTCTATATTCTACGCATCTTTTTATGTTTTATATTCCTAAATATATCTGTTTTTAGGTCATTAATATTATGTATTTGTGTCCTTTTTTAATCTTGATTTGCATTATTAGAGTTTTGTTTAGCTTATTTTTTGTTTTTAATTATTTCTGGTTTCACTCACTTTTCTTTTTCAATTAAAAAAACTAAAGTTATACATGTTTATAAAATGAATCAAAAAGCCTAACAATAGTTTGTTTTAAAATCAGGCTCTTGTGCCTCATCCTTTCTTTACTCATTTCCAACTCCCTGGAAGAATCCACCTAACTTTTAAATTGTTGAGGTTTTCTATGCTTTAATTTCATATTATTAATATAAAACAAATTGTGTATACTACTATTACTTGATTTTTCAGTTTGAGATGGTATCTACAAATTGAAATGATGAAGGATGAGGTTTAGTAAACATAGAACAAGCACTGCAGAAAGTCAAGGGGATATACACATGGTTAGAAAAAATTTCTGCCATAATACATGAAATTTGACTCCTAATGTTACTCCTTTGGTATGATGTGGATGTAGAAGTTCTCTACTAATGTACCGTTGGTTCATCTGATAATACTAGGGAGACCCAGAAATTGTTTTATTTGTTGAATTACCGATTTAGGTTAGATTATCAGGCAGGCACTGAGCCACGTGGAATTCTAAAGAAGTAGGGGCACAGGATATGTACATATTGATGTGAACAGAGAGAAAATAGGTTCAGTGTGTGATCCTGTCCTGTGAGGGGTGGTAGGAAAAAAGAGCATGGGAAGCAAGGCCATCTTTTTTACTTTAAGGCAGATCAAAGACTGCCTTTTCACCTGAATTAAATCTAAGCCCGAGGCACAAATCATGTTGCTTCCTTATTTGTCAAACAAAAACAATACACAAATTGAACCTCTTCTTTTTCTGTCATATTTTAAGCCTCACTTTGGGTGCTACAGGAATCATAAGGTGGTATAGGGATCTATAATGAATGTCTTTCTGTTTTACTAAGAAGATAGATTTAAAGGCTTTAAAGACTTTATTCTAATGAATCAATATTCAAATAGTTGAATTCCTCTTTTTCCTTTCCTGCTTGCTCCCAGTTTAAACTGGCAAGACCACAAAGTTAGCAAAATTCTGCCTTGTTATTTATTCCAAAGGCAACACTTAAATTTATTCTTTGCCATAATGAGGCTTAAACTGAAGGGATTGAAAAAGAATGCTGGCTACAGAGTTCCAATAATAGCAGGGTTAGTTAATCAAATATCCTAGTTGATTTTAATTGAAAAAATTTGCCAACTTTAAGGTAGATCCACTTTAAATTGGGCCTATAGAATTGTGGTATACTGTCGAATTTTTTAAAAAGTAATAAATGTTGTAGTATTTATTTATTTTTACTTTAAAAACTAACTTTGACAGGTCAGAGTCAAGGAACGTTTTTATAATGGACACTTCATCCAAAGAAAATATCCAGTTATTCTGCAAAACTTCAGTGCAACCTGTTGGAAGGCCTTCTTTTAAAACAGGATATCCCTCCTCAGAGGAAAAGCACCCATGCTGTGGTGAACTAAAGGTAGAGTAACCAAGAAGAAAATGGGGTTGATGCGCTTAGCTTTCTATCCAGATATCTTCTATAGAATGAAGTTAGAATAAGTTTTTCTCCTTTTAAAAAAAATGATCTTAGATGTGATTTACTAAAACCACACCTTGCCAGACAGTGCAAGCAATATCTGCCTGATTATGTGGGTTAAATTACTTTCCTGGGCTCATTTAAATGCCCCTCCTAAATATAAAAGAGAGAGACAGTAGAAACTAATATTTATTGAACTTCTGCCATGTACCAGATACTATGCCAAGTACAGATATAACATTTAATCTTTTGTAGCATCATGTTACTCCAATTTTGCAAATAAAAATGAGAATAATGTTACACAGTAAGAAATGTTGCTTTTTAAAGGGTGCTTGTGTGCTCCAAGCTCCTGTTCTTTCTTTATACAAATATTCACTCAACAAATCTTTGCTTTTTTCATATAAATGCTAACCACCTTCCCTATGAAGTTTCCATCACAGACTCATGTCTAGCAAACTTTGTAAGCTAGGTATCAAAGACATGTTTTCCATTGAAAAAAACATATGACTATGAATTTAATAAGTATAAATATAAACACAAGGAATAATAGTTGCACTTTTTCAGTCTATGCATTATGTTCCCTGCTGGTGCATGCACCACCCCGTGAAATACATAATTCCAAGTGCTGGACTTGTTATAAGATGTCAAGTGTTTGGCATATGGTTTCATTTGTTTCATTTTCTTAACAATGAATGACACCATACACTGACTCTTCAATATAAGACTCCTTTGAGTGTCCCTTTGGAGCAGGGCGGAAGAAGACGAAAGAGAATTCAACACACATTTCACATAAAAACAAAATATGTATTTTAAATTCCAAGAGCATTTGAACTTTTGAAAATCTACATGTTTTGTGTTTAAGGCTGATGGAAACCTTGAATAGTGTTTGAATTAAAGTTTCGGTGATAATAAAGCTGATATTACACATTCTTTGTTATTTATTTTGTATTTGACTGCTTAGTAAGTTTCCAATTGTGAGTCCAACTGGAGTCAGACTAAGTATGATTTGTCATATTTTCCAGGTGTTCTTGGGTGCCTTGTCTTTCGTTTACTTTGCCAAAGCATTGGCAGAAGGCTATCTGAAGAGCACCATCACTCAGATAGAGAGAAGGTTTGATATTCCTTCTTCACTGGTAGGAGTTATTGATGGTAGTTTTGAAATTGGTAGGTATCACAGATGCCTGACTTTAGTTTTAAGCCCAAGATCTTCTAGGTGTGGCTAAAGGACATCTTCTGCATCCTGTTGCCTGCTGGAATCTGACTCTATTCATAAAATCTTTTTTTGGACAGAATTTGCCATGATCTTTTCCTACAGGAGAGGCAGTTTTCTCTTTCAAGCAACCAACAGTAAATTTCTCTCCCTAGGTGTTTGGTATTGCATGGTTCATACAATTCAGAGCTCCACATCAGAGTAAGAGACTTTCCTAGAGGAGAGGGTGAGAGGCTAATTGTTATTTTGAGTTATAAATCTATAGAAGTATCTTTACAGAAGAACAATATACCCTAGGAGCCCTATGATTCAATTTTAGAAATGTGAAATAATCCAAATGGACTCTACAATGGGAACATTCAAAGAGAATCAAGAATGATGAAAGAAGTTACATCATAAAAGGGATGTTTCCACCCAATGGCCTAGAAAGAAGAATGAAATGATTCTATTACCTAGAACACAAGATCAGAGCAGGCAATAAAAATTCAACTCTTAGGTGTCTTCAGTTCGCCATTGACCTATAGACTCCTTCTTAGAACTTAAAAAGACCAAGTAATTTGAGTCACTGTTTTAGAAGTAATTTAAAGAGGATAATCCTAGCTAGTCTGCTCCTGAACTGGTAAACTAAAAGGCTTAATTTTTTATTGAAATAAACCAAATAGTACCCTCTCTGGTCCTTAATGCTTGTTTGGACGCAGGTCTATGCTATAGTAAAACCTCTAAATGCCCCAATTTTAGCTTTACCTGGTGAACTTTCAGAAAAAATGAATAAATATTTTTCAACTCTTCAACAATTTCTTTTTGTTCATACTATGTGTTTAGTTCTTACTCTGAATGTCACAGAAAAAAAATAAAATGAATAAGTAACCTTTTGCCTTCAGGCATTTGCTTCCCAAATTCACTTTTTATCATCCTTCCAGAATGACCTTTCTTAGTGCCAATCAAATTTTAATGTCCATACAAATAGCTGGGCAATTTTTTGAAACTCTTTCTAAAAATCTGATTTGGTAGGAACAGGATAAAATTCTGCATTTCTAATAAGCTCCTAAATGATGCTGATGCTTCTATTCAATAGATCACATTTTGTGTAGCAAGTTTCTAAAACATCTTATCCCATCAATCGTTTATGTAATCTGCTTAGACTGGCCCAAATGGTTGATTTATTCCTTGACCTCTGTTCTACTGTTAGCCCTACACTGAATGAAGGGCCAAAGAGAATCAAGGTAAAGGGTGACAAACTGCGTCATGAGAGGAAACAAGGAGGAAGAGGTAGCTGGTGCAGATAAAAGAACAGAGCAGATATGGACAGTTAAAAAATTATATAGCATGATGTTTGATGTTTTTCTCTCTCTAGATTATTGTATAAAAATATGTTAGAGCTGAAGAGGCATAGAAATGATAAGGTCCAAAGTTTTGTTTGGGCTCCCAGGTCCCAATGAAACTTGAGAGAAGAAGTCTATATTTGATAGACAGTGCTAAGTTTTCATAGAAAATAGCAAAAAAACATGACTCTAGATTCACATTAATTATTCCAGACCATCCTAGGCATATAAATTATTTATTGGATTAGTTGCCTTAAAATGGCTTAAAAGTTCTCTTACATCCCTTGAAAACCTTTATCCCAAATATCACTGGTTTGCCCTAATTATCTGAATTATATAAATTTCCAGGCAAGTGACTTTCCTGAACATAATCTTAATTTACTTCTTTTGCCTCTTTTCACATTCCTTCCTTCCAAGATTCTGGAACCAATATCATCTTCTATCTTTATGTTATTTGTATGTGGCAACTTTGTTGAAATTCTATTAGTTTTAATTGATTTTCCATGGAAACTGTAGAGTTTTCAAAATAGACAAATTGTCTGAAACAAAATATAATTTCATATCTTTCTTTGCAACTCTTAGATCTGTTTTTTCTTGTTATTGCCCCATCACACTAGCCTCAGTACTATGTTAAAGTACTCATAGTACTCATTACTATGTCTATTTACAATGGACATCTTTCTCTTATGTTTGACCTAGATGCAAATACTTTTAAATTTTCAGTATTAAGCAATATGCTTGCTTTGTGGTTTTGATAGATACACTTTAAAAATTGGTTTGCTCTGATTTGTTTTTTCCTAACATAAATGATTAATTTTATTGAGTGTTTTTACTTTGTCTGTTAAGTTAACCATGGAATTATTCCCCTTCCATTTGTTATATAGTGATTTAATTAATAACATTTATACTTGGTGGTACTCTTGTGCTTCTATAATAAACTGCTCTTGGTTTGGATATTTTTATTTTTATATACTATTCAGGCTGCTAATATTTTGTTTAGGATTTTTACATCTATCTTCATAACCAAGTTTGGGCTCGAATTGTTTTTTCTTACACTGTCCTTGTTCAGTTTGGCTTTAAAATAGTAGTCTCACAAGATGAATTGAGTAGCTTGCTTTCTTTTCTGTTATCTGGAGAGAGAGAGAGAGAGAGAGAGAGAGAGAGAGAGTGTGTGTGTGTGTGTGTGTGTGTGTGTGAGTGCGTGCGCGAGGTAGGCAGAAAAAGAAGAGAGCAAGAGTCTGTTACTTTAAAGTTTGGTAAGACATTTCTAAAACTTTCTGTACTTTTTTTTGTGTGTGAAAGACTAATGGTGGTAGATGTGGAAGAATTTTGATATCCAAGTTCATTTTTGAAAGATTATGTATCATCATTTATATTCCAAGTGTATCTCCTGAAAACTCAGAAAGGATACCAAGGAGGCAAAAACTTCTATAGATATAGTATATATCAATATACCATATATATATATATATATATATATATGTACGTGTGTGTATACACATGTGTATATATATGTGTGTGTATACACACACACACACACACACACACACACACACTATACAGAAATAGCTTGTAAACAGGAGTCCTTTATTGTGTGATATTGGTGAAGTGTAGGCGAGGGTAGGAGAGAATTGCCTATAAAGTAAAAGTCAGCTATCATTTTATAGTGGTTTATTTATTGTGGGACATATGTTGTGTTAACAAACATATGGATAGAATTATCAAAATAATATGATATACAATGTCTTCTACTAAATACATAAATTTCAAATGAGAAACCTTGTGCTCATGTACTAGTGTTTTAATCTGCACGTGAAGAAGAACTTAATTCTTCCTGGAGCCATAAAGACCAGGACCACTGTGCAAGTCATGTTTCTCACTATCATTATTATTATCCTCAAGCCTATAAAAATTACTGCTTTATTTCCAATTTACTAAAGCTGGCAATGTGACTGAACAGTAGTAAATTAGATGATTGCTTACAGATGTAGGGAAACATACTCTAGCTCAAAAATTGGAAATGAGAACTTCAAAGCAAAGCTACCCATTAGCCATCACAGTCAATTGCTGGGAAATTGTTAAATTCTTACTCTATCTAGCACTGTACATCTTAAAAATTAAATGTCTCAAATAAATATAGCTAAAACTTTTAAATCCCTTGAAGTCTAAAACCCTAAACAATGTTTGTCAAAGCATGTTCCAGGAGCCATCCTTATCAACACGTTTGAGTTAGTATTAGAAATGCAGATTTCTTGGCCTGACCGCAGATCCATGGAATCAGAAACTTTTGGTACTTGCCAAGAATCTGCATTTTTAACAAGTTTCCATTTTCTTAACCATTTCCTTTCAGTATTTTTATGCACAGCAAAGCATGAGAAATATTACTTGATTAATATGTTTAATCACTTACTATCATCAACTAAAAGTCATATACCACATGCTTTACTAGAGACATTTTAGAAAAGCATAATTTCTACTTTCAAAAAACCCCAATAATTTTAAACCATTTTTCACAAAAGATATAGATGGGCATATTTTATAAAGACTTTGTATTTTATCAAATTTGTGTTATATTTTGTCTTACTTTTAGGCATATGTTGAGGTTATATACTTGACGTATACCTAAAGTTGCCTATGTGGAATAATTTTATTTCTGTTGTGAGTCAATCTTTTTCTTTTACAAAGTGTATGAACAAGTCATAAAGTATCATTTGTGTAAATGTGTTTCATCATTTTATTTCATTTAAAGTGAAGTGCAGTTGTGTTTAATTTTTCTGTAAAGAATATCAGCAAAAGAAAGAATTTGCTATGTGTATTTCACAAGCACTTAGAACACGAATGGAAGTTTCATAAAAATTTTAATGAATGAAGAAAAAAGAAGTTTACTTCAAAATTACCAAAAAATATTTGAGAGAAGGTAAAGCATGCCTTAAAGCATTTGACTTACTGATAATTTTTTTTTTTGAGACAGAGTCTCACTCTGTCACCCAGGCTGGGGTGCAATGGAGCAATCTCAGTTCACTGCAACCTCCACCTCCCAGGTTCAAGTGATTCTCCTGCCTCAGCCTCCCGAGTAGCTGGGGTTACAGGTGTGTGACACCACGCCTGGCTAATTTTTGTATTTGTCTAATAGACAGGGTTTCACCATCTTGGCCAGGCTGGTCTTCAACTCCTGACCTCAAGTGATCCATCTGCCTTGCCCTCCCAAAGTGCTGGGATTGCAGGTGTGAGCCACCGTGCCTGACCAATAAAATTTTTCAAGGACAAATAATTAGGTTGGGTGGAATGAAGGACTGGAATTAAAATATTTTGACAATGGGATGAATTGACTGAAGCATGAACAGGATAATTTCAAGAATCATCTCAGATTAAAGGAAAAAATAAAAATGATGTGTAGATAGCTTAGTCAAAAGAAAACATTGCTTGATCTGCTATATACATTCATTCAGTTATGCTGTTGACTTCTAAATTCTCTAATTTATGATGTTTTATTTTTTTCCTCAAAGGGAATCTCCTAGTTATAACATTTGTTAGCTACTTTGGAGCCAAACTTCACAGGCCAAAAATAATTGGAGCAGGGTGTCTAATCATGGGAGTTGGAACATTGCTGATTGCAATGCCTCAGTTCTTCATGGAGCAGTAAGTCTAAAGCAATCATGTTTTCCTTGCCTTTAATTATTTAAATTTAAGCTTGACCCATGATAATTTTGTCTTACTTTTATTACATTGTCTTTGGATAAAATTCTAGAACAATTTTATAATTTTTCTTCTGACAAACTGTAAAAAAAAAATTCATAGATTACTGTATAATGACAAGATTAAAGAAAGATTTTACCTACTCTGTTTTGAGTCAAATGCTTTAATTTAGCTGTGGAGGAAAAATATATAACTGAAAATAAATTAATGTGGTAAATGTCAAATAAACAATTATTAATGAATACTACAGATAATAAATTCTGGATTATGGAACACTGGCTGGTAGATAATTAACTTAGGGATTTATTATCAACTCACACAACTATTCAATGTCCAAAAAGTATCTCTTAGACCTTTATCAATAGAAGTGGGGTGTCTATATCCTCTAACCCAAAAGTCTACTTTTGCTACTTTTGTTAATACATGCATACAGCTTTAGTAGTTCTAAAGATTTTTATCCATATCATTTTTAGCCTTACAGCAATCTGTGGGGTAGGAGAGCATAGTTTATCTTTTTTACTTTAGAGCTAAGAACCAGGCCCCATGACTTGAAGAGTCTGATGACTTTTGTAAGTTTAGGTGTCTTGTAATTATGAAACCAGAACCCTAAAACAAGTCAGCTGACTTCTCTGGCAGCAGCCTACATGCATATCTGTTTCACTGCCCTTCTCTCTGTTTATCTATTGCTGAAAAGGAAATGAATACCAAAAGGTTTCAAAGTAAGAGAATATTTTTAAAAGCTTATATTTCAAGTGAGACTTTATTGTCCACTCCAAATCATTGTATCAAGACAGTTTAGTGCCGGAGAGACTTAGAAATAACCTAGTCTGAACTTTTTCTTGAATTTTTAGACTACTTATATAAGTACAGTCAGATTTTGACCTCCCTGGCCAATCTGTCAAGGTAGGGCACAGAACTGTCTTGAGTGGGAGCTTTTCCACCCATTTGGATGAATTCCCTGGACCCTAAATTTTTACTTGGAGGGGGTTCTGTAATTTGGGAATTTCTGCCTGCTCTTTGGACAACCTCCTTCCACAGGTCAGAAGTTTCCTTTATCACTGAGATTCTGTAGAAATGTTTTATGTGTTCAGCCTGCAGAAAGAATGAAAAAGAGAAGAATGAGAAAACGAGTCTCCAATCTGCTTAATTCCTACTTGATCCTTAGTTGTGTTGCTGTTATCTGTTGATTCATTGAGCCTCCATGTGACAGTTTGCTCAGAGGGAAAAGCAGTTCCACTACTGAAAAAATTTAAAAAGTAAAAGTAGTTACATAGGATAGATAAACCTATTACTCCAGACTTAAATCACTATGCAGTGGATCTTCTATGTGGCAGTGGCTACATTACTTAATTTTTCTAGGTCTCAGTTTCTGCATCTTAAAACAGGTTTTAAAAATAATACCTAGCACATAATGTCATTGCAAATATTAAGTGAGATGACACAGGTAAAATGGTTATCATGGTTACCAGCCTAACTAGTAGCTGTGTTATCATTGTGCGTTATCAATCCTCTTAGCTCATTAAGCCACCTGGTTTTAACCAGCAATGGTTTTGTCTTAAAGCTGCTGTATACATATTAATAATTTTATTACTTTAAGTTAGTGTCAAATATAGAACACCCACATAAGAAAATCAGAGGGAAAAATGTATCAAAAAGAAGGTGGGACAACCAGACAGGATAATGTTGACAAAGGATACCAGAGGGACAGAGACAGATTCTTATCCAACATTTTTGATATGCTAGAGAACATATGTGTTTATTTATTATTTAATATACTTGCCAGGTACAATGTCAGGTAATGGACCTATTTCTGTGAGAAAACAAAACAAAACAAAAACACACACAATCTTTCCTTCATGAAGCTTGCTCTCCACTGAGGATTATCTCTATAATTTCTTTCCAGCATTACACAGCATTAGTCACTAATTGGGTGCTTATTCAAAATGTGATATTCATTCTCTAAGAGATAACTATGCTCTGTCTCCTTTACAGAAATATCCTTGATGTCCAACAAAACCTTTTAATCATGGATAGCAACTACTGAGGGCCTATTCCTAATAGGCTGTTTAGTTTTCTGTGTAAGCTCATTTAACTCATTAATTTAGCAAATATATATATATATAATTTCTCTAGGCAGCAAAGAAAGAGTAGTGACAAAAAAAATCTCTGCCCTAATAGATTTTTTGAGAAGGGGACAGAAAATAAACAAATACAATATGTCAGAGAATGGTAAGAACTATAGAGAAAAATAACCCAGTGAAGACACATAAAGAGTGTGTGTGGTGGGTCAGGGGTGGCTGAGTACAAAGCAGGGTAGTCAACGTATGGCTCACAGAGGTGGTGACATTTGAAGAAGATCTGATAATGGTAAAGGGGAGAGCCATGTGGATATCTGGGAAAGAAGACTTCTAGCCTAAGTGAACAGTGAAGGCAAAGTTTCTGCAGCAAGAGGAAGTCTGGTGCATGGATGACCTGCAAAGAGGCCTGTGTGGGTAAAATGCAATGACCATGGGAAAGCACAGAAGATGAACGCTGAGAAGTAAAAGGGAATGAGAGGCTATGTCAAGGTTGTTTCTCACTTTGATGGGCATTCGAATCACCTGAGGCTCTCGGTAAACTGCAAATTGTGATTCAGTAGCCCTGGGGATAGTGCTGAGATTCAGCTGATGTTGCTGATCTGCAGACCATCTTTTGAGTCGTAAAGTTAGGGCAATTGCAAGTATTTAGCTTGTCCTCTGAATGAGATGAGAAGTTGTTAGAAAGTTTTGAGTAGAGTGACATGATCTTTCTTATATTTTTAAAGGATCACATTTACTGCTACTTGGAGAATTGACTCTGGTGGGCAAGCTTGGAAGCAGGGAGACTATTTAGGAAACTAATGTAAAATTTCTAACATCAAAGTCAAGAGTGCATCAGTCAGGATTTGCATGCAGGTCAGAAATAAATTCCCTAATATAAAAGCATTTATAATATTAGTCCCAGAGTTAATTAATTTCATCTTTGTCTCTTCTCCAACAGTCTAAATAGGTACAGACCACATCCATACCTCTCATTTTACAACTTAGAAAATTAAAGCCTAAACATTATTTTTTAGAGAATCACAGATAGTAATTAGTAACAAAAGTGGCACTTAGATAAAGTCAAAATAATTATGATGCTTGCAACAGTAACCTGTTGACAGAAGGAACTGAGTTAAAATAATTACAATTTTTCAAAATACTCTATGATCACCATCCATTCTCACTTCAATAATCTTGAAGCATTATAATAGTCAATGGTTTCTCTGTAATTATTAACGAAATAAAATTATATTTACCATGATTTCAATGCTAAATGGTGTCATATTTGGTTAAGAATTGAAAACAGTCAACTTCATTAAGTGATTCTTAACCTACTATGGTCAGGGAACCATTTGATAAAATTTTAATAACTGGAACCCTCTTAAGCATTCACATAAAAACATACATATAAAAATGTTCTTACTTTTTCAGTGGGGTTCATAAACCCATTGAGATGTAGATTGCACAAAACAGATTTAAGCTAATTTATTTATCAATGTGAATATTTTAATAATACATCTTTTCTTTACTATGCCAAATAAACAGTTCTTTACTATTAATTTGCCAGTGTCTGTTCCTATGATTACTAGCCTTTGGCCAACAGTGCCTGAATAAAATGAGAATCAAGATGATGCTGGGATGTTTTCTTACCAGATAACTCTTCCCCAAGGGGTACAACGAGTGTGGAGAACACGGGACATGAAGGATAATTTGAGTCCAAGAGTACAGCTGGGGAAATTGTTGATTAGCATTATCACAGGATGCCCACTAAGCAATGGCTATTTATCCCAGCTACTATCATAACCTTATAAATGGGGGAAAGAGCAGGATTAGAAGTAACTTTGTGCTATACTAGCAAGCAGTAGAGAAAAAGCAGAATAACATCAGGATAAATGGTATTAAATCCATGTGTCATTTTCCATTCTCCAGAATCAGCCTGGTAATTGTTCTACTAAATTTACAACTCTAAATAAAGTATGCTGATGCTAATACATTGTTCAATTATGGCTCTTTCTCTGACTCAGAGAAAATCATGATTTTATCAAGTTGGATAATTTTTCTTTTTTTTGAGAGCTCTGTGGCCCAGGCTGGAGTGTAGTGGAACGATCTCAGCTCACTGCAACTTCTGCCTCTCAGGTTCAAGCAATTCTTTGCCTCAGCCTCATGACACATCAGGCACCCGCCACCACGCCATGCTAATTTTTGTGTTTTTAGTAGAGACAGGATTTCACCAGCTTGGCCAGGCTGGTCTTGAATTCCTGATCTCGTGATTCACCAGCCTTGGCCTCCCAAAGTACTGGGATTATTTTTTACTTTTATTTTCTTTCATTAATTAACTGGCCCAGGTATAATGCAACACAAGGGTATCCGAATTTTGGCTTCCCTGGGCCACACTGGAAGAAGAATTGTCTTGGGCCACACATAAACTATACTAACAACAGTTGATGAGCTAAAAATATTACAAAAAAATTCATAATTTTTAAAAAAGTTTATGAATTTGTGTTGGGCTGCATTCAAAGCCATCTTGAGCTGCATGCAACCCACAGACCATGGGTAGGAAAAGCTTGGCGTAATCTATGAGCAGGATCTTCCACCTAACTCTTCAGCAAAATCTGCTGTTAAATGCTAGTTTGGTTTGGTGACTCAGACTCAGAGACAGTTGCAAGCTCAACCAGGCACCCTAATGATTCGTGTAGCATACACATAATATTTTTAGTATGATGTTAATGAGTCTATCATGAAGAAAGCATTCTTCTTATACAGGTACAAATATGAGAGGTATTCTCCTTCCTCCAATTCTACTCTCAGCATCTCTCCGTGTCTCCTAGAGTCAAGCAGTCAATTACCAGCCTCAGTTATGGAAAAGTCAAAATCCAAAATAAGTAATGGTAAGATCATTTTTTTGACTTGACTTTTAAGCAAGCTTTAAAAAAAAAGACTTTCATTTGCTTTAGGGTGGACAAAAGTGTCTATGATTTTTGCTCCCAAAAGCTTTACTACTTAAACTGAGGTATCATAGTGCCACAAAAATTCCTAGATTACGAAGCAGTAAATGATGAAATCCTTAGAAAATATACCAGATGATCAAATCTTATGGAAAAAAGGAGCATTAATTAATTGATTAATTCAATGCTTCTAAATAAACGGGTCTTGAAAGCAGGGTGAAACTAGTTCAGCACATACAAATCTCAATCCATTGCTCAGACATGAAAGAATTTTTCCCATAAGTCAATATAATTTCTATGTTCAGCTACTTTTCATCAGAATGGCAAAAATGTACTCTCAATTTGTCCCTAACCTCCCTCTTTGTCCCCAGGGGTTGTTTACATTCTAGGGAGCTTATATAAGAGTAAAACGGGCAGCTGTGGTGAGAGCTCTTGATGCTCTCATTTCCCTGCCAGCTTAGATATCTAAAACCCCTGTGGTCACAATGTTTGGTCTTACTTGTCACCACGGGGCTATCTTATGTCCATGTTCATATTTTTCTTTCACAGCAGCTCTCTCTAGTACGGAAGTGGCCATCTTATATCGTTAGAGTGTTGCAGTGAGCAAATAATACAGAGTATGGTTTGGTAACAATGTCTACCTCCTCAGGTCATTCTGAGTATTAAAAAGCCAAGTATTTCCTTTAAAAAAAAAAAGTGGCCATCTTAGACACATGGAAATAATTCTATTTTTCACTCGAGCTAGGATGCAGATTTTGTCAAAGTGTCTAGTGTTCTAGATGGCTGATGCATATAGCACAGCAATGCTTTGTCTGAGATCCCCTTGGGAACATGGGAATGCTGTTTTCGATATCACTGTAGACACTGGAAATCCTGTGAATCAAAGGCAGGAATGCTGAACTAGACTGAAGTAGAGTCTTGCCTCCTGCCTGGGCTTCACCTGGCCAAGGTAACAGATTTTCCTTACTCAGAGTAGCCATGAATTTATCCACAGGTGTTTACAGTGTCTCTAGGACTCAGTACAGGCAGGAAGAGCAAATCCCCTCTTCTCCCTTCTGCTTCCCTTCAGCATCAATATGCTCCACACTCCTTCCCTGCCACCTCCCAACTTCACCCCCCACTCCTAATCTGAAGAATCAAATTGTATACAGGTAGAATGGCAGCCTTTTAAAAATTAATCTATACCTGCTATTCGTCCAAATCTCTTATCTATTCCACAAGACTTCTATACTCCCCTAATATTCTCATTAGTACTTTCTGTTGAGTTGCCTTTTTTTCTGGGCAATGAACACTGGATGTTTGAATGAAGGGAGGAGCCAAAGGATTAAAAACATATGGAAATGTGAGAGGGGAAGGAAGGTGAGAGCACAGAAATCTAAAAAGTTTACCCTCTCTTGCTGTATCAAAGAAGGAACATATTCTAGACAAAGAGGAGAATGTGAAAGGAGGTAATAAACATGTTCAGGAGGATGCATTCAAATCACAGGGCAAGAATGGCAGCCTACTTTATGTAAAAATATAGTGGGTAATAAATATGATTTAGGTTCACATAAGGAAGCAGGGAGCTGACGGAAGGGCCTGCAGTTTCATCTGTATACAATATACGGTCAGGGAAGATTTTTTTTTTTCAAGAGACATGATATAAAGACAGTACAACAAGTTAGGAAATATTTAATCCAGTAATGTTAAAAGGTGAAAGGTAAAACACAGGGCTTAGAGTCAGTAATTAAACTGTTTTTTAATAAAGGGACAAGTTAGCAGGCAGATATAGAGAACGACTCACAACTCAATTATTTTCTTTCCTTCAAGTGAGGTCCTTCTCCCTTAAAGTTTGTTTTTCTTAGACACAGTGGACACAAGGCTCACCCTTAAGTTAATAAGGATCTTCTCAAAAGTGCTCCACATACAATCCTCATCTCCCCTACAACATCTAGAACAGAGCTGTCCACAGAACTTTGTGTGATGATGAGAATGTCTTATATCTTTGCTGTCCAATACAGTAGCCTTTAGCTGCATGTGACTATTGGGTATTTGAAGTATAGCTAGTGTGACAGAAAAACTGAATTTTAATTTTATTTAATTTCAATTTTAATAGCCACATGTGGCTTATGGTTACTGTATTAAAAAGCACCATCCTAAGGTATCTACACTCCTCTACTACAAGACTCTCCTACCAACAAGCTTCTGAGAATTACACAATTGCTAGGGCTAGAATGCACATTAGAGTTAATTTTTAGAAAAGGAATTCGCACTATATTTTTGGAAGCAGAACAGAAATTCAGAGAAGACAAACGAAAATTCCATGGTCACTTGAACTTTTCTAAAAGAGGCAGAGTCAGACAGAATCCAAATGAGTGTAAAGTAGTCTTTACTGTTATGCAGTTCGATTCACTTGCTCAAAGGTATTCACCTTGATTCTTCACATAATCTATTTTTCACAATCAAAAATTAAGAGTTATTAACAAGTGAAAATAACTCCTACCTCATAGGTGAATTCAGTTAAAAAATGCCTGCAAACCACTTAGTTCAGCATGTGGCAGAGAAAGAACATTCAGCAGCGATGATTATTGGAGGTTGTTAACATTATCAATTTTATTAAAGCACCTAAACCTTCAAAGCTATATTTCATTTATGACATGAGGGTAATTGCCCTACTGCACATGATCATATTAAGACACAAATTTTACGAAAGCATTTAAAAACTGTTATCCTTGAATTTTACTCTAAAAATGCTGTCAAAAGGTATCTTTTTGTTGGAATAACTATACAGCTAAAGTATAAGGATTTATAATTTTTATGTAAATTTGTTTCCAGAGTCCTAAAAAAATGGTTATTCATTAACAAACAAGTATAAATGTAGGTAATACTGCCCAATGTTGGAATATCAACTGTAAAAAAAATTTGAATTTAAGATAAAACTGGGTCAACAATAAGATTACTTGTGATTTCTGCTGAAAAATAGAACTAAAAATTAAGGCAAGAAAGACTTTGTTCAAAATTTTCTGTTTTGCCACAGTTAGATATTGAATGTCATTGCAGTGTGGGAACTCAAATAGCTCAGGGCAGGAATGAAATAAAAAGAAGAGAGAAAATAAAAAGTGAAGGCACCAGGAACAATAAGCAATGGAGTTTCTTGGTGAAGTCTCTCAGGGATTTACGCTGCCTAAAATGTTGAAGATATAAAACGTTTTTCAAACTTGACCAAACTCCCATTAAATTATGACTATTGCACAAACTTCTGCATTCTAGTTCTGTTTAAGATACATTGTAGAAATACAGAATAAATACTTTTATAGTGATCTATTTTCAATCCTCGTTTGCCTTTTTTTCAAGAATGTGAAGTTGACACTAGCTCTTCCATGTGGATTTATGTTTTCCTGGGAAATCTTCTTCGTGGAATAGGAGAAACTCCCATTCAGCCTCTGGGCATTGCCTATCTGGATGACTTTGCCAGTGAAGACAATGCAGCTTTCTATATTGGTAATATGGGAATATTGCTTCACTCATCTTTTTGGGAAGCAGGGTGACTAGTTTTCTGAATTCTATTCTATGTTAAATTAAATGTGGAAGCTTTTTATACTTCATATCCAACTCCTCTATTCAGCTCACGCATTTCTAAAGAGCGCACTTAAGATTTGAATGACGAAGACACCACAGTTAGAGGGATCTATTGCATTCAAATAGAAACATCAGATTAAAAGAAAATAACTGCAATGACGTTTGACCTTGTAAAAGTAACTTCACAGGCTTCAGACTTCATAGGTTCGTTTTAGTGGGTTACCTATACTGCTAAAGCATTTAGGCATTTTAGCTTATTTAAAAGTTTGTTTCTTAAGCTTTAGAAACTGCTTTCCATTTTATAAGCCCTGATTAATTAAAGCTATGAGGGATAGGCAACAAAAAATCTTGAGATCTCAAAAGCAGGTAAAAATGGGTAAAGAAAAGTATAAAAAAATAGAAGTAAGGCCTGAGGCTACCTCATCTCTGGAACACATTCTAGGAAGTAGACCTGCAGCTAAAATCTCAAATACCAAAATAATATAGCAAAGGCAAACTCCCAAGGTAAGATGCATCTAAACAGCATTTATTGGTTTCCTCTCATGTCCTGATATTAAGCTAGTAACACATGTCAGTCTCTCCTAATTGTTATTTTACCCTTTCCTGTGGTGCTGACACACATCAGTCTCTGTTTCTTGAAATTCTGATCTTTTAAAGGCCTCACCTTCAGGGACAGAGAGGCAAGATTTAAATTCATTGAGGGGTGCTAGAGTATAATCTTGAGGGGTCCACTGTATAATCTTGCCTTGGCTATGCTCTGCAGGACTCCAGAGGGTGCTGGTTACACCCAAATAGGCTATAGGTAAGATCACAGCTCTTACGCTAACAGAAAACTCCAGTATAAATCAGGAACTGCAACTACCACAAACACTTCATCAGCTGCACTAGGAAATAGCTCTGGAGACTGGAGGAAAGGCCACAGCCAGGAGAAGCATACTGGCTTCTAGGTGCATAGGTGTCCCCTTCTTCTCTAGGAGCTCAGAACTTGTTCTCTTTTCCCTCTATTCCAAAAAGTAGCTGGTAACTGCTGTTTATTCTTCCAATTAACTTAATCTCCCATGAATACATGTGTTTTAAGCCTTGTGGTGAAATGAAAGACAGGTTGCAGATATTTGGAAGGAAGAACTACCTTTCTGGTTACTAGAAATGGTGTCCTTTAGGCCATCTGTTCCACCTTCCTGTGAAGGTTGACCTGAATGGTCAAGAGGGTCCCAGAGAGCACTTTTCCTGCTCCAAAACCTGGCACCTTTGCCAACTGCATCTGGGATCTGCATAGGCCCTGTTCTCACTAGTGATCCCACAGAACCTCGGAATGAATGGATGTACTTTTTTACTAAGGTGGAAGAAATCCATATGAATGTCAAGACAAGTCTTATGCTTAATTGACTGTAAAACATTTTGACAAACTACCAAAATTAATACAATTCCAATTTTTGTCAATGGGCAATCTAATCCTAGGAAATACGGTTTGCTCCATTTTGGAAAATTAACTTCCTCAGAGTATTAATGTTATTTTCTTACTAAGACATAATTAATGCCTTAAATGTGTTGCCTCTTCTCCCAAAGCAATGAAGGACTTATTTCCTGATTCAATGTGGTTTTAAAATTAACTAAACACATACAAATGAGTTAAAACATTTTGGGCTGCTAACTGGATCTCACATTTCTTGTTTAAAATTTTACTAATTTATCAAAGTAAAGAAATGACAGCTTTTTCCCCTTTTCTTTCCTTGGTGCAGGGTGTGTGCAGACGGTTGCAATTATAGGACCAATCTTTGGTTTCCTGTTAGGCTCATTATGTGCCAAACTATATGTTGACATTGGCTTTGTAAACCTAGGTAAGGGAGTTTATTTTTGTATTTATTCATTTATTTTAGTTACTGTAACACTTTTAATGAGAACAGTGTGGAAATTATCAAATTGCCTTTTTATAAAGTGACAGAGTAGTAATCTTTCATAAAATGGAAATTTTAATCTAATCATGCATATTAATAAATGGAATATGAAAAACCTTGATGAATAGAACTGGATGACCAATGGTTTACTAAGATGTATCCTTTTTCACTATGATTGTCAGTTTAAATGCATTCCAGCATAGTTAAGACTGAAAACTGTAGCTACTTGTTGGCTCTTGTTGGCTTCAGATGTGTCAACATTTATTACAGTTATATCAATTGATAATGTATTTGGGGACTTGACAGAAACACCAAGGATTAAACACCTACTGTCATCCAAACAGCCCTTCCTTTTTGTTACTCTACAAGTCATTTTTAGGTGTAAGTATATTATAGCATATTATTGAGCAAGACTGGCTTTCCTTCTGGGATACTGCTTATGTAGGAAATAAATGGCAAAGAGGACACTGATCTTTTCATAGCTATTAATTTGTTTCTATTTCTGTGAGACACACCTTCTAGAAATAGATGGCATTTGTCGGTATGTTTTTTTTTAAAGAATTCTAAGAGATTAGCTACAAACTAAGCAAATTTCACTTAAAAAACAAATGTGGAATTGTGTTTTGAAGTCTGCCTGTTAAAAACAGAAAGCAAAATTCTTGCATTTAAATCAAATAAACTACAAGGCAAGCTTCAAAAATGTTATTCATTCATTAGTTCCTGTCCAGTTATTTTGCATTTACTTTATGCCAGGTGCTATTCTATAGCTCTGAACAAATCAGCTGAGTTCCTTGACTTCATGAAGTTTAAAGTCCACTCATGGATTTTAAAGACAAGAAAATATAGATGTGATGAGCAGTACCGAGGAAAATCGTTAAGGGGATGCAATTAACATGCAGTGATAAACTAGAAAAGCATTTTACCCAGTATAATGCAGTGGCAGTTGAGCCTACTTGTCAAGGGACATGTGTTTATTTTGTTCTCACAGAGTGTTATGGTAGAATATAATAAATGTTTATAAGTTCTTACACAGAAAGAAAACAACACCCACTTGGTTTAATTCAAAAAAACTGTCAATATTTACTTTTAGTCAAATGAGAGATTATGTCAAAAACAAAGTTTTCATGATGAATAAGATTCTAAAATTTTGCTTTACAAATCTTGCTTCATATCTAGAATAGCTCTGAAATATTATTAACCACTGCTTAATAAAAAATATTCTGCTGATTTGAATGAGTCTCATATTTACTATCATAATGAGAGTTTTCCACGAGGTTTGGACTGGAGCGTGCAAGGCATAACTCTTCAAGTAAAATCTCACACAGACATTCAATATGTCAATCAAATGAAAGTGGTGCTGATATAGAGGAGCTGCCACATGAGGTTTTGACCCTTAAAAATTCTCCCTCATGTGTTGTCTTCCTCCTAGCAGGGTCTCTCTGCAGAACCTCAGAGCACAATTTAAAAATCATGAAGCCTCTTCCAGAATTTAGACTCTATATTTTTAATCTAATGAACAAAATAAATTATCTTGCTCCAAAAAGCACTCTCTTTCCTTCAATAACAAATACAGACCCAGATTGTTTTATTGTGCTTTGCTTTACTGCATTTTGCAGATATTATATATTTTTTAAATTTAAGATTCGTGGCAACCCTGTGTTGCGCAAGTCTAGAGGGACCATTTTTTCCAACAGCATGCGTTCACTTTGTGTCTTCGTGTCACATTTTGGTAATTCTCCTAATACCGCAAGTTTTTAAAATTATTATTATTATACCTATTATGGAGATCTGTGATATGTGATATTTGATGTTACTATTGTAATTGTTTTGGGGCACCACAGTTGTGCCCATATAAGATGACAAATTGAATTAATAAACCTTGTATGTGTTCTGACTGCTCCACTGACTGGCCCTTCCCCTGTCTCTCTTTTTGGACTTCCCTATTCCTGAGACACAATAATATTGAAATTAGGCCAATTAGTAACCCTACAATGGCCTCTAGGTGTTCAAGTGAAAGGAAGAGTCACACATCTCTCACTTTAAATCAAAAGCTGGAAAAGATTAGGCTTAGGGAAGAAGGCATGTTGAAAGGCAAGACAAGCGAAAATCGAGGCCTCTCACACCAGTTGCCCACGTTGTGAATATAAAAGAGAAATTCTGGCAGGAATTGATAAAAGTGCTACTCTAGTAAATACAAGAAAGATAAAGTGAAATAGCCTTATTGAAATAAAGTTTTAGTAGTCAGGAGAGAAGATTAAAGCAGCCATAATATTCACACAAGCCAAAACGTAATTCAGAGCAAGGCCCTGCCCCTCAAGAGAGATGAGGAAGCTGCAGAAGAAAAGTTTGAAACTGGCAGAAATAGGTCCATAAGGTTTTAGGAAAGTAGCTGTCCCTGTAACACAAAAGTGAAGGTGAAGCAGCAAGTGCTGGTGGAGAAGCTGCAGCAAGTTATCCAGAATATTTAACTAGGTTCATTAATAAAAGTGGGTATGCTAAACAACAGATTTTCCTAGTAGATAAAATAGCCTTCTATTGGAAGATGATGCCATCTAGGACTTTCACAGCCACAGAGGAGAAGTCAATCCTGACTTAAAAGCTTCAAAGGACGGGCTGATTCTCTTGTTAGGGGCTAAGGCAGCTGGTGACTTTAAGTTGAAGCCAATGCTCATTTAACATTCTGAAATTCCTACAAATAGACTCTTCCTGTGCTCTATAAATAGAACAATAAAGATCTGCTGAATGACAGCACATCTTTTGTAGCATGGTTTACTAAATATTTGAAGCCCAATGTTGAGACCTAATGCTCAGGAAAAAAAGATTCCTTTCAAAATATTGCTGCTCATTGACAATGCACCTAGTCACTCAAGAGCTTTGATGGAGATGTACAAAGAGGTAAGTGTATTCATGTCTGCTAACATACCATCCATTTTACACCCCATGAATCAAGGAGTGATTCTGACTTTCAAGTCTTATTATTTAAGAAACGTATTTCATAAAGCTAGAGCTACAATCAATAATGATTTCTAATGAATCTAGACAAAGTAAATTTAAAACCTTCTGGAAAAGATTGACCATTTTAGATGCCATTAAGAGCATTTGTAATTCATGGGAGGAGGTCAAATCCACATTAGCAAGAGTATGAAAGAAGTTTATTTCAACCCTCCTGGATGACTTTGAGGTGTTTAACACTTCAGTGGAGAAAGTAAGTGCATATATGGTAGAAATAGCAAGACAACTATAATTAGAAATGAAGCTTGAAGATGTGACTGAATTGCTGCACATCTCACGATAAAGCTTGTACGGATGAGTTGCTTCTTGTGGATGAGCAAAGTGAATGAATGGTTTCTTGAGACGGAATCTACTCCTGATGAAGATGCTGCGAACATTACTAAAATGACAACAAAAGATTTAGTAAATTACATAAACTTTGTTGATAAAGCAGTGGCAGAGTTTCAGAGGATTGATTCCAATTTTGAAAGAAGTTTTACTGTGGGTAAAATGCTATCGAATAGCATTGCATACTACAGAGAAAACTTTCATGAAGGAAAGAATTGATCTATGTGGCAGACTTTATCATGTTTTTTAATATTCACATATCGCCACAGTCATCTCAACCTCCAACAACCACCACCCTGATCAGTAAGCAGCCATCAACATTGATATGAGATCCTACACCAGCAAAAAGATCACTATTCACTGAAGGCTCAGGTGATCATTAGCATTTTTTAGCAATAACATTTTTTAACTTAAGGTATTTACATTTTTCAGACATAATGCTATTACATACTTAATAGACTACACTGTAGTTAAATATAACTTTTGTATGCCCTGGGTAACAAAAACATTCATGTGACTCTCTTTCTTGTGAAATTCACTTCATTGTGGTGGTCTGGAACTGAACCTGCAAAATCTCCAAGGTATGCCTGTGATAATATCCAGCTCAAAAAAAGAAATAGATGAATTACTAGGCATTTTTATGATGTTATAGAGCTACTGCAAGAATATATTTTTAAGTAGATTATTTTAACATATTAGCTTTGCTGTTTGTATTACTCAGCCATCACATAACCATCTGTCTTTCAGATCACATAACCATTACCCCAAAAGATCCCCAATGGGTAGGAGCCTGGTGGCTTGGCTATCTAATAGCCGGAATCCTAAGTCTTCTTGCAGCTGTGCCTTTCTGGTATTTGCCAAAGAGTTTACCAAGATCCCGAAGTAGAGAGGATTCTAATTCTTCTGAGAAATCCAAGTTTATTGTAGATGATCACACAAACTACCAAACACCCCAGGGAGAAAATGCAAAAATAATGGAACTGGCAAGAGGTAAGTCAAATTCTTGATTTTGAAGCATTTTTATTTTCCCTGTTGGGACATTAGGAGATTCATAAATTATATCCCTTCATGTATTCAAAAAAATTGAGAAACCATATCAGAAGCAAAAATGGAAATTGATGTCAGTTTTATTACTGAACAACTGATTGCAGCATGCTGCCAAAGGCTTCACAGCCTTTCCTGCTGATGTCTCCATCCTTTCACACCCCGTCAGTTTAGATCCTACAGCTGTCTCTACCCAGGATTGCTGCTTCATGTACTCTGTGTATCCAGAAAATAAAAGGCTTAATCTTCGGGGCTGTTGGCCTTTCGACAGATAAGATCTTTTCATTTGAGAGGTGTGTATCAATGCATGTCTCTCACCAATGATCAAAGGAGTAAGTGTTGTGTAGGCAAAAAGTCAGTGTTCTAATGAATCCCCTTTATGGAAATGAACAGCCAATCATGATATTGGTCCCCCTCTTTTTGTCCCCTCAAGAAATATTTACATTTATAGAAATTCTTCACATGTCTCATTGGTAGGCTATATAATAGAAAAAAGGGAGAAGACCAACGCTCATTTCTAACACTTATGTTCATATGTTAAATGGAGATAACTCTCATATTTCTTTCCCTTTGACCACAAGTTAAGTTTGAGGAATATAGACAAGAAAAGTGAAGGTCTTTTTCTCCTGCCTGCGGCTCTGAGATGGTGGGTGAGGGAGTATTCTCATCCTTTTTGTCTTTTGCCCGTATCAGCTAGAGGAATCTATTCTTGTCCGACTTTTACCTTTAATATAATGTATACTGCATGTCTGTAGAAATGGGTGCCTATGTCTGGATTTGAAGGTGGCCAGATCGCAGGCTTGATGCATGCCAGTGGCTTATTACACATAGTGTGTGTGTACACCACACTGTGACTGCTCCCAAGCTCCATGACAATAGGCCCCAGTCCTGTAAGTCCTGCTGACACAGTGCTGCTTCTGCCATGCATGACACCAACTTTAATTACTCTATGTTATATTTGTTTTACAGATTTTCTTCCATCACTGAAGAATCTCTTTGGAAATCCAGTGTACTTCCTGTATTTATGTACAAGCACTGTTCAGTTCAATTCTCTGTTTGGCATGGTGACGTACAAACCAAAGTACATTGAGCAACAGTATGGGCAGTCATCCTCCAAAGCCAACTTCGTGATCGGTATGCTCATCTGCCTTTCCTGCTTTCTCAGAGGGACTCTCTTAGATGTATCTGGTTAACTCAGGAATCTTAGAGAAGATTGTTCCAAGATTTAGGTAATTTATGACATTTTAGGTGAACTTAAAAAGTGCAAGAATTTTGTACTAAGAATTATTCACATCTGTGGATAAGTAACCCAGAGAGCAAGTAGTTCTCAAAGTGATATCATAGAGATCAAACATGCATTTTATGAGGAGTTAGTTAATAATACTAGATATTTGTCCTCTAAGTACAGCCAAAACCTCAAAACAATGGCCATTTTATGTGAACAGTTTCTAAGATTGTATAAAATGGACAATGAGACAGGCTAAAAGATATTCACACAAAACAAAACTTGTATTTTTGCAGTCAAAAAAACTTTTCTGACTCCTGGCAACTGGGTTAGTTCAAAGGGTTGTGTTTCTAGCACAGCAACACAGTCAATAATAAAAAAGTATGAAGAAATAAAAGATAAACCAGATCCCACAAATACATGAACACGACCCTGGAAAAATTAGATATTTGAAAAATCTAGATTTGTTTCTTTAGTCCATGAAGATGTCATTTAATGTTACTGTTTCAAGGCATAAAATATTTTGTTTCTTGGGGCATATTCCTTTATGGTGAGAGACTCCAGTGGTATAAAATCATTTCCTTTTGGTACTTTCAAAATCACTCTATATTTCAGCCTCTGAAAGAGACCTGGAGGGAGAAAAAACCAGCCAAATGTATTTTAAGAGATAAAAGTTTTCCATGGTAATCTTGAGTAATGGGCACATAGCGGATGCTAACATAATTGACTCTTAGTTTAAAATATTTTTCTCCAAAATTCTTGATGTTAAGGTTACATCACTGAATATTTTTATTTTTAACATCAATTGGTTCAAATTAATTTTATTACTTATTGGCTGACCTAAAGAAATATTTTGTGGCTTTTTTCCCAACACCACATGCATGTTAATCAATGCTTTACATTGATTTTAAGATGAATAGATGAGGATCTAAAGTTTAAGACGAATAGGTGAGGATCTAAAGTTTAAGACAGACTTTTTAGTCTCTATGTGAATATTGAGATATAACTTATCCACAGTTAAGTCTACAGACCTTAAACAGTTCAGATGGATACATTTTGATGTGTGTGTGTGTGTGTGTGTGTGTGTGTGTGTCACATCCAGCATTCAGAACATACAGAATGTTTTAGTTCCCCAGAAAGCATGCTTAAATCTCCTGTCAGTCAATACTTTTTCCCAAAGCTAGTAACTGTCCTAGACTATATAATCATAGACCAGTCCTGCCTGTTTTTGAACTTCATATACATTAAATAGTATATTATATACTCTTTTGTGTCTAGCTTATCTCAACTGAAGTAAAATCTATGAGATTATTTCAGGTTGTGAAATATTCTTTTTCATGATATGTAATGTCCTACTACATAAATAAGAAATTATTTATGTGGTATTCTTTTTCATGCTATGTAATATCCTATTACATAAATATATCACAACTTATTCATTTTACTGTTGATGGACATTTGTGTTGTTTTCTGCTTTTAACTAATATATTTATAATACTATAATATATAATACATAATATATTATGATATACAATTTTCTATATTATAAAAATATTATAAATATAATTATTTATAATAGTATTATACTATTATTAAATTATAATATACAATGTCTATAATTATACTATATTATAAAATATATTTTTAAAATATATATTAATATAAATGTGATACATATTAATTATGCATTGTATAGATTATATATTATATAATAAGTTATATATTATAATTATATCATATTATATATAATAAATTATATAAAATAAATATGTGACATGATATTGAATATTATATAATATATAAAATATTTATAATTATTTATAATAGTAGTATAAATATTTAAATTATAATAGTATTTTAACTAATTATAATAGTTAAAGGCAGTAAACAACACAAATAAGATTATGTATTTTAATACATATTAATATATATTATCTATATTATTATAGCATATTACAGT